GGCAGTCGATCAACCAATTCAGCGCCTAAGACACCGTACTCTACGAGGCAGCTTGAAAAGCAGGCATCTACCGTGAAGCAGCTACTTAAAACGCGTACGCAGAGCCTTTCATCTTCGCTAGAAACTCGATTTGATAAGCTTATTAAAGGTCTTGAATTACATCTTAATGAGCTTACTCTTGCACGCGAAGAAATACGTGAATTACGCACTTGTCATGAAAAGCAGCTTCAAAAAAGAAAGCGTTCTACTAGGCAGATAGCTATTACAGAGGGGTCAGCTATTCAAGAGGGTCTAGAACGATTTCAGCGCGAGAATGAGATCTATGAAGCTCAAGATGCGCTTCCTATAGACCCAGCGCTTTCTGCAGTTGGGCCGCGCGTGCGAGCGCTACCGCGCTGCAGTGATTGTCATAATCTAGGACATAGGCGATTGCAATGTCCTAATCGAGTTCCTAATTAATTTTTAGGCAGAAATGCAATTGCTTAAATGATAGAGGTTCTAGTATTTAGCTCATGGGCAGGAATTGGCGGGAGGTGCGGCGCTCGGGAGTGAAATACGTTAATCATCGGAGCTGACGGAGATGGTCGGCACCGAAGGGGTTCCGCCTCCGACGGTCACGGCAATGGAAGGAAGCAATTCCGTAGATTCAAGACTGATCTGACCGGATTGACTCGGTCCTAGTGATTGGTGATTAGCAGGCTGTCAGAATAACGCGATAGGGGCAAAAAAAAGGACAATATCTGAACGGGCTCGAGCTATCAGGTCCCGCCAACGAAGAATATCTCCAGGGCGAGAGAGGGGTTATATATCGTCGGAACAGCGGACTGTAAGTCTGAGAATCTTGGCATTCGCACTTGTATTCGGAGTTCTGGGCCGATTTTTATGAAGGAGATTCATAATTCTTACTTCGTGCATGGCTTGGCCTTGCAGGTGTTCCACTAACTAGTACCAACTCTAGGACTGGGTAAGCAGTTCCACTCCGACAGGGCTGATCCAGTCTGTGGTTACACATTAACCAATACCAACAACCAACAGTTCGTGGAATTACAGAGCGGAGTACGGTTCTGCTGAGTACTACCTCTTATTTGATCCTCCCTGAACAGATCCCAATCACAGAAGAGGCAAATGCTCGAGTGGCAGCTTACCGTGTTTTGTTTGGTGAGCTGGCACTGGCAACGCTAAATATTAATCAGAGCCGGCCAAGATGGAATCCGACCCGTCCCACCTTCGAGCTATTAGATTGCTCGCCTGCTTCTTATTATTGGTTTCACGGGCCACAGAGAGCAGTCTGCCAGGGTTTTACCAAGCCGCTAGTAGGGCCGTAATCCTACGTAGGGCGGACTCGTCGCTCCTTCCAGCCGGTGGTGAATCTCATACACCGTAGTATTCCGTCTGGGGGAATCCAGCTGCATTGATAAGCAAGGAAGAGAGTGACCAAAAAAAGAAAATCTCGTGCTCTTCTTGGCTGGCTCCATCGGTGCCAGCGAATAATGCTCTTCTCCCCTGGTCAAGCACGAAGAAGTTGGCAAGCGCTCGAACTCCGTAACTGTTACCTTATGGGTTGTAAATGTATGTACTTCCCCCCCACCCCCGAATGAATGTGCATAATTCCAAGCAACAACAATAATAATAAAATTGATCGGGTCGTCAAGAAAGTGTGGCAACGGACCGACCATTGTACTTAGTACTGCCTGACCTTCGTTTACCGTCTCTCTTTCTCTTCTCTTTCCCTTTCACTTTCCCTTTTCCTTGCTCCAACTGGTTTCCTCTTCGTCATTCTAGTGCATGGCTAGGATGACGAGCATTTCCTTTCTCTTTCGCTTTCTGTAACCCTCCTGTTGGTCCTATCCTTGTATAGATAGGCAATTGGCATCCCGATAGTATTTGATACCCTTCGCTATTCTTCCTCTCCCCGCGACTTCGCCCTAAGCTGGTTATCTTATCCCCCCCCCCCCCTTCTCGTCTCCCACCCATCGTCAGGGCCTCGACATGGGCGCCGGTGCAGTTTTGGAACCCTTGGTGGTTATCGTGCTTCTTTTTGGCGGCACTTGGATAAATCGCAGCGCTGGTTCCTTTTCCACGGCGCGCCGGACTCGACGCCGGTCAGGCGCCTGGCCTCGTGATGAATCTCCGGATGTGGTGGAATCGGGCATTTCCACGCCAACCGCAAAGGATGGCCTATTGGACCGTCGCTCTGCCTCGCCGTCCCTCCTGCAGCCCGAACAGAGCTCGTGGCACCGGAGGCGAATCAGTCTGTTTTCGTACTCGTTCGAGGTGACTTCGCCAAACACCGTCGTCTTTCAGGACCGTTTCTTGAGTCGTCTGCTTCGAAAACTTCCGTTCCTCGCCGAATGCTGGTATTGGGCCTTGGTATACTGGGTGCGTATCGCCTCCATCTTCCTGATTCTCATTTTCTGCCGTCATTTGATCGATCTCCAGACCACCAGTGTCCTCGGAGAGAGGCCCTGAAGCAAGATGAAAAACTGACCAGAAATAACAACGCAGACATACCAGCTGGGTCGAGCATTCACGGCCGTCACGCTTCGGGAGGGAACTGTGGACGTGGCGAGAAAACATGCGCTGGAGTTGATTCGTATCGAGGAAGCCCTCGGGGTATACTGGGAGGTTCCGATCCAGCAGTTCTTTCTCCGGCACGCTAAGCTTATGACATGGACCAATTGGATATACTCCTTCATCCACATACCCGGCACCATAGCATTCCTGGTCTGGCTTTACTATTACACCACCACCCGCAACAGGTCCGACGAGTCGCAATTCGGAAAGCCTCGAGGCGTGAAGAGCGGGTCCCCGGCGGGCCCGCTTCTTTATCAAGCTCGGAGACGGACGCTGGCCGTGTGCAATCTTCTTGCCTTCGTGGTGTTTACCTTGTGGCCCTGTATGCCACCTCGCCTGTTGAGCGATGAAACCACGGAGGGCCCCGATGGAGAGCTGGGACGCAGTTACGGTTTCGTGGACACAGTGCACGGGGTGAACGGCGCAGGCAGCGTGTGGACGGAGAATCGATTTTGTAACCAATACGGTAAGAGGCCCCTTCTTCGCCGATTCTCCGCTCTATATCGTCTTCTCGGCTAATTAAGATCGTAATGAAGCCGCTATGCCTTCGTTGCATTTTGGATACTCTCTGATGATCGGGCTGACAATTATGACCATCCCCTTACCTGCTCATCATCGCCGGTCAATCGGACTGACTCGGTGTTTTGGACTGCGAATCCCGTCATGGCGTCGACTGGCCTGTCTGCTTGTGGGTTTCTCCTACCCATTCATCATTTTGGCGGCAATTGTGGCCACGGCGAACCACTTCATTCTGGACGCTATTGCCGGGGCAGTGGTCTGCGCTCTGGGATGGAGGTTCAACGGAATCCTACTGTATCTGCTACCGTTAGAGGACTATTTCTTGTGGGTGGTCCGTATACACAAACCAGAACCGACGGAGGGCTTTGGGAGCGCCGATGTTTGGTCCGATGACGAGACTCTGGAATAGGGTGCCCTATCTTGATTCGATCCCTGAGAATTCTTGTTTTTATACTATTCTTCCGCATCCTAATTATCCTTGACGGCCTCCGATTTTTTTTTATTCTTACCAGGAACGCATGTATATATAAACCTCCTTCGAGGGGAGGCCCAGTTTAATGATTCACTATTCCCAACTGACACTTTTGTGACGGTCGAAGTGACCTTTTTCTCTCAGTTTTTTTTTGGGTGCTTGGCTTTCAGGAGACTCACGTTTGTTTGTTGGTCAATAAATTCTGGGGTATCGCACCTCATGTAGATGAAGAGTTTCTTTTTTCTCTCATGTTAGGCGTATCTGATCAGAGTTGAGTATTGTATAGAGTGTAAATATTCAGGGTCTGACAGATTTGTTTAATATTCTATAAATTTGTCGAACCCTATAGAGGGGCGACTGCGTAAATAAGAAAGATTTCAGCATCTTTTCTGCTCTGTCGAGGGTTGAGGGAATGAATGTCCCGGACGGAGAGTGAATGCGAGGCGGGAAAGCAGAAGGGGATGGGCGAGAATGAATAATAATATGGAGATCCCCAGTAATTAACTCGATTCCAAACTTCTCTCCCCTCCTCCCTCCCTCTTCCCTCTTCGTTCCTCTCCAGTTCCGACTTAAATTGAAGACGCTCCCCCCAATCGCCCCCTCTGTCTTCGTGCGTCGACCGACCTTTGCGATCGTGGGGCTTTCCTTGTCGCTCTCCGTTCGGGTGTCACTGTTAACATCAACCATTGCTTGTGCCACCAGGTGAGTTGCTTTTGCTTCCCTCGAAACATTTCCAATGATTTTGCTGAACGTGATCCCTAGGAATCTTCTTCGTTGCTCCGTCGCTTTGTCTGAGGACGCAAAAACCGCGACTCTACTCTTTGCAGTAGCTACGCTACGTCGATCACTGCGAGATTGTCAACGGCTGTTCACCAGTCTTCCATCTCCATTGTTTCTGTCCGGCGCAATCATCGCGGACATCACCGCACGGGGTGTGATCTGACGTCCTCCTCTCTTGTCCCGATACATCGACCCCTTTCTTTGGTGGTTGTGATTGTCTACTAGAGTCCTTGGCGTCTGGGGACTGCTGCACGTCGCGTGAGGGACAGGATTCATCCCGGACGACGGACTACCGGGTGAAAAGACGAGTGAAGACGTGACCGGGCTATTAGACATCGTGGTTGACGTCTTCCTGGAATTTTTTTCTATTTCTATTCCGTTGTGTTGGAACCAGACGTTGCGTCATTTGCGGTGACGGTTCCCCCTTTGGCCGCCGGAAGAAGCAGCGCACGCGTTGTTCGACTTCCCGCCTCCCGTCGCGACCTTCTCCACCACTTCTCTTTCGCTCCTCTTCCCTTCTTCCCTTCTTCTCCTTCTTTTCCCCTCCCCCATTCCCACATCATCCTCCCCACCATCCTTCCTCCACCCCATTGAAAAAGCTCCGATCTCCATTATCTCCTGATCTTACTTTTTCAATCGAGCTCCGCTGCGCATCATGGCTGAGGACACTCCTGCCGCAGCACCCGCTGCTGAGTCGCCGGTTGAGCGCGCTCCGGAGCCCAAAGCTGGTGCCACGGAATCGGCATCCGAGCCTTCGAAGGAGGACAAGGCAGAGAACGCTAATGGGTCGGAGGAGAAGCCGTCTGGTAAGCACCTCCCCGGAGAACCTTGTTTCCGTTTGGTACCCACCGTGTGTGTTGAAGTGCGCGTGCGTGTTATTATTGGACATGGGGCGCTGACTTCAAGTTCTTCGGATTTTCCTACTAGACGATGCTACCGCCTCTGAAGAGAAGAAGCAATCACCCGAAGCTTCGGCTGAGCAGCCCAGCGCGCCCGCCGAGTCAACTGACGCGAAGAAATCGGAAGAGGGCGCTGCCGCCGCGGCCGAGCCTGAAGCTCCTGCGGCTTCAGAAGCCAACGGAACTCCGGCATCGGCCAAGAAGTCCGGCGGCTCAAAGCGTAAATCCACGGGTACCGTCCCGGAACACAAATCCAAGCTCAACAGGAGGAAGTCGCAAGTTCGCGTCACCCACCTGGACGCGAAACCGGGCGAGTACTATCTCGCGCGTCTTCGAAGCTTCCCCCCCTGGCCGTCTATCATTTGCGACGAAGAGATCCTCCCCCAGACTCTCCTGAGCTCGCGACCCGTGACCGCTCGCCGACCCGACGGTAGCTACAGGGAGGACTACGCCGACGGCGGCAAGCGTGCCCACGAGAGGACTTTCCCCATCATGTTCTTTGAGACCAATGAGTTGTGAGTAGACCTTACCTACCCCTCATTTAACGTATGTCGGGCAGATTAGCTAATGATTACGCCAGCGCCTGGATTCCCAACACCGATTTGAGCCCCATCGACTCCGAAGCCTGCAAGCAAGTATCGGAGAAGGGCAAGTCGAAGTTGCTTCTCGCCGCCTATGCCGTTGCCAGCGAGGGTAACGACCTTGCGTATTTCAAGAACCTTTTGGCGGACCACCAGCGTGCCATGGAGCAGGAGGAGGAAGAGCGCGAAGCTCAGGCGGCCGCAAAGGCAAACGCTAAGGCCGAGCGAGAGGCCAAGAAGAACAAGCGCAAGAGTATGGAGATCATCGACGATGAGGATGTGGATATGGAAGACGCAGGCGAGGGAGCGAAGAAGTCGAAAAGCTCAAAGAAGCGCAAGAAGGATGCTGAAACCGAAGGCGAGGAGAAGGTGAGTTTGCCCGATAAGACCTGTCAAACTTTTGCATTGATGAACTGACGTTGCGTCCCTCTCGTCCAGCCTGCTAAAACACCCAAGACCGGTACCAAGCTGAAGCTTACCACTCCCAAGACTCCGGCCAGCGAGAAGAAGGCCCCCGCTTCGAGCAAGGCCAGGCAGACCGCCAGCAGTAAGAAAGCTAGCAAGGCCAGTGAGGAGGCTGAAGAGGGTACCCCTGCCGCATCTAAGGAGCCCGAGAAGAAGGTGAACCCGGAGGAAGCCAAGGACAAGAAGGAGAAAGAGAGTACGGTGTACCCCTGATAGCGTTGAGCCACCCGTACTTAGTTTGCTAATTTAGTCTAGTCCTTTTCGTCCGCCACAAGCTCCAAAAGGGCTTCATTTCACGCGACCAACCCCCGAAGGAGGAAGAAATGACCACAATGTCGGGCTACTTCACCAAGTTGGAGAACTACGGCGATCTAGAGGTTGCCATCATCCGTGCCACCAAGATCAACAAGGTGTTGAAAATGATTGTGAAGCTCAGCTCCATCCCTCGCGACGAGGAATTCCAATTCAGACGCCGTGCCATGGATCTTTTGTCCAAGTGGAAGACCGTGCTTGATGCGGACACCCCGGCTGGCGTCACCGATGAGAAGGACAAGGACGACAGACTGAAGGCCAACGGCGTGAACAAGGAAGACAGTGTAGACACCCCCACCAAGGCCGACACTGAGGGAGAGAAGGAAGACGAGCCCAAGAGCAAGCAAGATACTGCTGAGCCTCAGGATGAGCCGATGACCGATGCCGATGCTGCGGAGAAGTCGGAAGCTCCTGAACCAGCTAAGGAAGAATCTGACAAGCCGGTCACCAAGGATGATGCAGCCACGGCAGACAAGACAAATGAAGAGAAATCCACGGAGGAGAAACCTACCGAGGAGAAGTCCGAGGAAAAGACCGCGGAAGCTGCTGCATAGATATGAGTGGCTTGCCTGCTTTCGGTTGTCTCTCTTTTCTTGTTCATGGTTGTTTGTTTTCCATTTATCTCCCCGTACTGGCATGCAGTCTAATTTGCGTCTTTCCCCTTCTCTTGTTTCGCTTATCTTGGCTTTGTGTCGCTAGTGTTTGTATCTCTCTTCCTGTTTCCTAATTTATTTTCCCCCTTTCTTTTTTTGGGATTGAGCAAATGAAGCCGAGAATCTCACCAATTCAAGAAAAAGTCTTTTAAAATCTTTGTTTTGCGATCTTTAAATCCCTGCCCGACAAGCCCTATCTCACTTGTCAGATGTACACCTTCTTTCCACTGCCTAGGCCCTGCACAATATAAGATGGAAGTCCAGTGATTTCGATCAAGACAAGCCCCCGCCCTATCCTTATTATCGTTTTGTTGGAAGTTTCTGTAAGCGTGCTTGCCGAACCGGGGTTCCCTGGGTCGCTTTCCCTGCCTTTCTTTTTTTTTTTTACCTTGGTTTTTTTTTTTTTGCGTCGTTCTTTCATCAAGAATGTTCATTTTTATCAACTCTTGAATAGTGTCTGTGATTTCTTCACTTCATTTTCCCTTTTTGGGGGTTGAATCCACTCCCCAGGCATTCTGATTACATATGCACAGTACACGATCGAGTAGGAAGCATTCACAGTCTGTTCTATTCAAATGTTGAATTTTTATTCCCATTGATTTTGACACCGTAGCTGTAGATGCCAGTAGGTGTGGTGAAGGTAATTCAGATGCCATGTTCTCTTATGCAAAGGGAACGACTGTCTATCGTCTATAATAAAATAATACCCGAGTTTTTCTTCTCCATGCCTGTCCATAGACAACCAGCCAAGCCAAGTGAAACAAAAGAAACAAAAAGAACAGTCAGACCCGCCCGATTTAAATAAAGAAACACAGTAGGAAAAAAAAAAAAAAAAAAACCCTGCAAGACCGACCCAGAAAGACGACAGAAAGAAGAAAATCCAGAAAAAAAAAAGCCTATTATTTAATATGAACCGTCCAGAAATGCAGAGTACAGTGCGCCGTGCTGTGTGTTGGTTGTATGTGCGCCGTTCAGGATCTCTGCCGCGTATCGTATCGTTGGTTTATATATTGATCTCGTAAAGAGAAAGATCAAGGAAGAAGAGGTATGTATATATAAGAAAAAAGGTGTTGAAACAAGGAAAGAATTGTGACGTGCGTTTAAGATGAGGACGATGCCTGGATTCCCTCATCCACGGCCACCACGGCCACGACCGCGATGTCATCAACCTTGCCGCCGCGGTACCAGTCTCCGGGATAATACCGTTGAGCTTCTTTGGCGAAGGGACCGTCACGTCGGAAATCCTGGCTAGCGAGCTTGGCTTCTCCCGCGATGGTGGACGCAATAAGGGATTGAAGGGTGTAGGGTTGGTCCTCTTGTTTCTTAACGGGTTTCTCCGAAGAGGAGGAAGAGGGCGGAGAAACCAACGACGCCAGTCCGTCTGGACCAGTGAGGAGGCCGAGCTCATCGGAGGGTTTGATACCGGTGCTGCTCGTGGCCGTCCATGCTCCGGTCAGTACCATGCGGCTGGTGACAAGCTTCAGAATATCCTGGTTGTTCAGGTTGTCGAAGACGCCGTCCGTTGCAAGTAGTAGCACGTCGCCGTGCTGCATGTGAAGGTTCGTGACGGCCGCGTCGCGCGGGAAATCCTCGAGGTAGGCGCCGCCGAAGATGGAGGCCTGCTTGCGCATGCGAGGCGGGATGATGCTGAGCTGGTAGGGGGTGTTGAAGCCGTGGGTCTGTGGGATGGAGTAGTGGTGCACGGCGGCGAGTCGCAAGAGGACGGACCCCGAGTCTCCTAGATTGGCCAGTTCAACGCGTCCGTCCGGTAACCCGACGCCCACGGATGCCGTGCAACCGCCGGCGCGAATCGAATCGTCTGCGACGACTTTGTCGTAGCCCGCCTGGAGAAGGTTCTTCGCGCGCAGTTGCTCCGCCGGCTGCTCCCAGTCCAGGGCCGATTGGGCCATGTAGCCACAGAGGGCGTGCGAGAAGTCGGCCGGGTCGACCTTGGACTCGGCCCAGCCGCCGACGCCGTCCGCGACAGCGAACGCGACAGATCGGCGATCCTCATGGCCGATGCGACTGACTAAAAAGGCGTCCTCACCGCTGTCGGGTCTCCGCTTGCGCCGGATCGCGGGATCGGTCGTGTCCGTGGCTACGCCCACGGCGGACAGGTCGGGGGTGAAATTGTAGGAATTCTTGGTCGGGTGGAATCGACGGCCTTTACCGGACGCGGAGGCGGCAACACGGTAGGAAATTCGAGGGGCGTCCAAGCGGCGACGAGTCGAGTGGAAGGACCTGGACTGAGAGGTCGAGTGGAAAGGGAGGTGAGCGGAAGAGGTGGACGATAAGAAAAAGAAGGACAATCGATCGGCGACCGCTGGGGTCCTGCAGACCGAGCTGCAGGCTCTTCCGGGGGAGAGCAACATGGCAAAAACTTATGTATATAAAACAAAAGAGATGATTGTAGATATCCAACCCACCGCTTGGAGGGAATAGGGAAACGATGGGAAGGTTTCAAGAAGTAGAAAAATTATTTTGACGGCCGCCGCGAGAAAGCAAGGCGGTTGACCGCCCACGGGATTAAATTCATCATTCTTTCTTATCTCGTCTCCATCTTCTTCCTCTCTTCTCTCTGCGAAGAACGAGTATTCTAGACTCGGCCTGGCGTTTGTTGGGGACCTGCATTTGCATGATCTTTCCTGTCCTTCTCTGACGCTAAATTTCTACTTAAATAATCCATTTCCTTTCCAATTCTTTGTCCCGCCTTCTGCTCGTCGCAACCGTTTTGTCGATCCCCTCTTTTGTGACCTGCTACTCCTTATTTCGACCATTAATCTTCGTTCCGAATCAATACCACCTTTGATTTCGAGCTTCAGGAATTGTCGCGACTTAAGTCGACCTTCTTGCCCACCATGATGCACCCTTCGAGACAGGCGTACGTGGAGGAGGCCGAGGTAAGGATATCTTCTTTCCGTGGCTTACATGTATTCTCAAAACTCTAATTTGCCGTGGAATTGCAGGATACTGACATGGGCATTGACTTGGCTAATCTGCGTAAGTGGTCGCATTCCACACCTATATTCCGTTATATCCCCACCGTCTAACGATTTCACTTTCCTAGCTGTCGACCGCGATTATGAACTTCCCTCTGCGGCGGCGGGCATCCCCGCTGAAAGAGCCTCTGCCATCCTGTCCCAGTTCGAACGAAAGCGCAAGGCCGCCGCCATGGCCGTGCCGACCGACGATACGCGAGTGCGCGCGCGACTGCGAGAGATCGGAGAGCCCATCACACTGTTCGGCGAAGGACCCGCGGACCGGCGAGATCGATTGCGAGAGCTCCTGACGGATTTGGCGGAGAGGCAGGGGGCCGATGGCGATGTGGACATGGATGCTATGGAGGACGAGGAAGAGGAAGAAGCAGAGCAACAGGAGGAGTTCTACACGGAAGGGTCGGAGGATCTCTTGAACGCCCGCAAAGCAATCGCGCGTTTCTCTCTGCCCCGCGCGAAAACGCGCGTCGACCGTTTGCGAGAAGAGTCGACGATTCCATTGAGAACGCATATCAAACATCGCAAAGCAATCAAGGAAAAGTTGCAAGGATTCGACCTCTACGGATCTCAGATCGCCGGTGACCGTCCCGTCAGTATTTGCCGATTCTCGCCGGATGGACGGACTATTGCGACTGGAAACTGGGGCGGTGGGGTTAGCTTGCTGACGGTGCCGAACTTGGAGGAGAAACGGTCATTCAAGGCGCATTCAGATCGGGTGGGAGGTCTGTCGTGGTTCCCCGGGGCTACGTTACCCACCTCGGATGTATCCCCATCGACCGTCAACCTAGTCTCCGGTGGCGGAGAAGGAAACGTGTGCCTGTGGTCTCTCGATAAGAATGAACCGCTGGCGACTCTCTCCGGTCACTCTGGCCGTGTGTGTCGGACGGAGTTTCACCCCTCGGGTCGGTACGTCGCCTCCGCTTCTTACGATACAACATGGCGCTTGTGGGACGTGGAAACGACCGCCGAATTGCTACTCCAGGAAGGTCACTCCCGAGAGGTTTACACTTGCGCCTTCAACAACGATGGCTCTCTAATGGCCAGTGGTGGACTGGACAGCATTGGACGAATCTGGGATCTGCGGACGGGTCGGACGGTGATGATTCTCGAGGGCCATATTCGTGAAATCTACGGCCTGGACTGGGGTGTTGACGGATACCGAGTGCTGTCGGGCTCCGGCGACGGATGGGTTAAATGCTGGGATCTGCGTCAAGTACGAAACACGGGCGGTATTGGAGCGCACAAGAGCGTCGTTTCCGATGTGCGATGGTACAAGGGAACGGAATCGGCGGCATCCTACCTGCCGTCGCTGGACGGCCAGAACGGCCGCATGGAGGTCGACGGTGCCACAATGACTACGAGTGATGTGCCGACAGCACCCGTGCAACCGCGGAAGTCGGGCACGTTCTTCGTGACCAGTGGATTCGATAAGAACGTCAATATCTTCAGCGCAGATGACTGGTCGCTAGTGAAATCGCTGAGTGGACATGCGGGCAATGTTCTCAGCACGGATATCAGCGACGATGCGAAATGGATTGCTAGCTGCGGACATGACCGCACAGTCAAGCTTTGGGGAATTGAGTGAAGCATTGACACTACGGGACCAATCTAGAGTATCTTGCTCACTGACTCAGGTTGTCCGCTGTGAACAACTTCAGCCCTTGACTGTTGGAAATGGAACACTTAGGACACCGCCTTGGACAAGCCTGGATGAATGAATGTTCACCTGGTGCCATTACCCAGCGACGGCAATGAGATATGACATGCCCCAGCCCTCCAAGGGTGGTGACCTAGCAGACCTGGCAGCTTGCGAAGATAGGACACAGGGGCCGATGGCTCCTCGACCACAGAATATGTATTATCTGGCCAGTTATAGTTTCGATAGAAGACTCTGAATACCCTAAAATGAAACATGAAGAAACGAACCGGTTCGGACTGCACCTCGGACTTCCCGCGGACTAATGACGTAGCTGCTCGGAGCTCCGCGTGTTTCCCGACCCCGAGTGGATGACTAATCACCCTACTCTCCATCAAAGAAGGCGACTTTTGACCCGGGAAAATAGACAATACTCTTTCCCTATTTCGAGGCATCGCTTGCAATAATCTACCATATAAGCGAATATGACCACATCAATTCGATCGCAGAGACTGCTCCAGCAGCTCTCCCTCTCCGGTCCCACGACGAGATCGCGCATCGCATCCGGCACTGTCCGCGGAGCATGCATCGCCTGTCAACTGCGATTCCAAACGCAGAGCACCAACAGACTTACGCCTCGCCCTAACACCCAGCACACCAAGTTTCCTCTCCGGCGCCAATTCACCACGACATCACCCACATACAACGACAGCGACGCGGGCCCAGAAAGCCGCGGCGTCGCGCCGGACATCACAAACCACTACACGATCTTCCGGCAAACTTTGCCCGGGGGACCTCCACCGGGCTCACCCTTCGACATCTCACTGGGCGACCTGCGGCGCGAGTTCCTACAACTCCAGAATGTCAGCCATCCGGACAAGTACGCGCCGGGGGCGGCGAAGCGACGCGCAGAGGCCTTCTCGACGCTGATCAACGAGGCGTACCGCACGCTGGCGGACCCGCTGCTGCGCGCACAGTACCTCCTCCGTGAGATGCACGGCATTGACGTCACAGCAGAGGACGGGGCGGCGAAGCATGCACTTGACCCGCAGACGCTGACGGAGGTGATGGAGGTGCAGGAGACGATCGAGGAGGTAAGCGAGGACCCAGATGCGGAGGCCAAGATCGCGGAGCTGAAGAAGGAGAATGCGGCGCGGGTGGAGACCGGGGTGAAGATGTTGGCGGGGGCGTTTGATCGCGGGGATATCGAGACGGCGAGGTCGGAGTGCGTGCGCTTGCGGTTTTGGTATAATGTGGGAGAGGCGCTGAAGGAGTGGGAGCCTGGGATGACGGAGTTGAGACTGGTGCATTGATTTGTGAGAGGAGGATAATTGTTTGGGGTTTAATTTTTGAGGAATGGAGCGTTTAATCGTTGTTTGCATGAGGGATTGATATAGACTATTTTAGAAGTCATGCATGATGTGACAAACCTTATAGAACCAATGTCTCCATTCAGACACTGCATCCGTTTCTCTTGTTTATCCCGGCCAGGCTCTGACAGACCAGCCAGCCGGGCCTGTACAATTGTTAAATCTAATAGTGATGCTTGGACAGTAGTATACAAATAGTTATGCTTATCCGATCATCCTTTGCCTTGAGAAAGAAAACATCCATCACTATTGCGAGTCTGACTGGGGTTTCAGGGCAGATTCAGCCAATTTCTTGGCCTCCTGGGCTTGTATTTCCGGCACAAACTAGAACTTGACGACGGTATTGTTCCCTCGAAGTGTTTCTAAGTGCTCATGGATTGTCTTGAAATGTGGCATTTTTTTGCGTGGATTTTTGTTTTATCCCAGTTTTTCTCTATCCATCCCGGCATCTAAACGGTCAATGCTCGTTTCATCATCTCCGAACTAAATTTGATTACCAGCCGAGCAAGCACTTGACCACCAGCTAGGGACTTTTGCAATTCGATGGCGTCCTTCAAAGAGAATTTAAAAGCGTCTATTTCAGCCGCATGATCATGGCGTTCACGGGTGCCTCGCTTGTCGCCACGATTCCTGGGATTATTCTTGCCGTAAAAGAACCCAAATGCCGAATCTAGTGCTGTGTTGTCAGAGCGAGAGACGTCATGTGCACCGCCGATTGCAACCACATAACTCCCTAGATCAGGCGGGTAGCTACTAGTTAAGGAGTCAACTGCTGGGCTTGCCGGGAAGGGCTGTATATATGTGTACCAACATAATAATTTCTTACAATGATTCCCGCGCCCCCCAGGTATACTACCGGAGGAAGGGGCTTATGGTACGCGTTCCCTAATGCTCGGGCGAACTTGGAGGTGGAATAAGACATAGTTCTAGAGTATACACCTCCCCTCGCTTTTCTATATATCGAGTATAATATAGGGTTTTGGAAAAGAGTTGACCGCCCTTTCTAACCTGCGCTCCACAGAAACACACTTGATACGTTCGGTTTATATGCTATGGGGTAGGGTTGAAATATGAGCCTATATGGCTTCGTATATAAGGATGATATTGTGTTGTGTATCTAGTTTGAGTCCGGTAGGTATAGCGTGCTCGTGGTATTCGAGCCGTTGAAGTGACTATAATTGATTACTACTACTGCACCAAGAAAATAATTTCCTTCATTCTGTGTCTACAGCCGTTGAGAGAACCTGCGATTACTCGGAAGAGCCGCGCCAGGGATTCGGAATCCACGCCAGTACTCTTGCTTGCGCAGGAGAGCAGGATCGGACCGCAGTCTCTGCATCTCCTGCTTCCCCGTTCTCATGACGTCCTCGATATGCCTCTCCTTGCCTGCCATGGTGATACTGGAGATCGAGCTATTCTCGTTCCACCTTGGGCGAATCACTCCGTCATCGCCCACCTCCAGCTTTCCCTCTGCACCGCAGGTCACGCACCCGACGGCGTTGTCTCTTGTGCAAAATAAATCGATCTTGGCTAGATGGCAGAAAGGACAAGCCCCTCCTGGCAGCGGTCCCAGATACTCGGCCTCGTCAAAAATCTTCCCTAACTGGCTTGCGACGTTCCTGCCCAGCTGCTGTGCTCGTGCCGGCGCATCCTCTGTCCCCGTCACCAACACCGAGCCTGGGGCACCATAGCCCTGAAACACCACCTGATCGACGACCTTCGCATGAAGCGAGTACACTAGATTATGCAGCGTCGGCAGCGCCATGGCAATCTGATCCGACATGGTAGATCCCCCGACTGCCATGAAGCCCACCACCCTAGGTTTCAGCAACCTCGGATCCACTTGTTTGCCCTTGAATCGTGGATCCCCTGATCTTTGACCCTCTATCGTCTTCCTCGCCAACGCGACATCCACAAAGGGTCCTAAGATGCGATCTACCAGCGCCTTGAGCATCCCTGCGGGCTGGTGGCTATATATCGGGGTGGATATAATCAGCGCATCGGCGTCGAGGATGGCGTTCAAGACGGCGGCCCGGTCGTCGATGTCCGCCCGGGTGCCTGGCTCTGCGCTGCGCATCACAGCATTCGTGCCGGCCGAGACGTCTTGGGCTCCTTGCAGCGGAGCAGGGTTGCGAGGAACTTGTACGGATGGGGAATGCAGCCAGGATGACGTGATAGAGGAATCGTACTGCGAGGCGCTTGTCAGTGCCGCCTTGAGGAGGATTTCTGAATTGCCGTTGAGGGAGCCATTGGCGATGCCGAGGATATGCATGGTGGGTTAGACTCGGTGGGTACTGTGGGATAGTACGCAATACTTGGTGGAGTGTTCATGCTGTGGAGGGATGTCTATTAATAAATGGATCGCTCGGCATGTGGACATTCATTCATCGGTTCTTCGTGCGTTGGAGAACCTGGGGATGCGGTTCGGGTTATCCGAGTGGTTATGATCCCGTTTCCCATGTTGAGCAGGAGATATTGAAACATAATTGTGGCAGGTTTGACCACCCATGTCATATCATGAGAGTTTTTGTTGAATAATGACTGATCAACTATCTAGGATATCCTAATTTGTGTAGCAGGCCAATCTGGAGTGGACGGATTGAGCAATGTATGATAAGGGCAAGAGTACTTTCTTTGCAGATCTTAAATGCTCATGTAGGTAAAGATGATAGATAGCGTGAGGATTGACCGCATTGTTCAAGTAGTAGACCGCTCCGTTCGGTCAGAGGATAGGCATAAAGACTCGCCGGTCGATGGTTGAGATAGACTTTGAAAATGCAGGGCGGAAATTGACTGAACGATTTCCAGTCCATGCTCTCTCATTCCCCGCCTTCCTTTTCTATGCATAATCCGAGTTCCTGTTCCTGGAAATGTGACGAAGGATCCATCGTGAACTCAACGGGCTGACCGCCAGATCAGATTCGCACCGACCAGCGGGAGAAATCTCCTCCGAACCTAACGCTCTCGTGTCTCTTGAATTACAGGAGAATATCACACGAGCGCACCACTCTGAGGAACTATAGTCAGCCGGGCTCCATCACGCGAGATGGCCCCCCCCGTTGGGTCCGCACGATAGGATTCATCGGGCAACAAACATCACCCAACGATCCACACGGAATCCATTTTAGACCGACTGGGACTCCCCCGCAGTACGACGCAGTAGCGTGCCTCGTCGGACTTTTGGGCTGTCGTGATATCCTGCCAGTGTGTCGGGATTTAAATCAATCGTGCGTCGTGAGGAACAAATTCAACCACGCCGAGCTGCGAGAAACCAACGTGCTCACGTTTATTCCCCTTCGCTCTCCTCGAGAGCTGCAGCCCGGTCATTCTTCAAACACAAACAAATGCAACTGGACGATCCCCTCTGGATTTGATTCATTCGCCCTGAAATACCAGTGGCTGGCGACTTCTGAACGTCGCGATAAGAGGGGCCCCTCTAGTTGGCACCGTATTGAAATGAAAAGCTGGCGGTCAATTCGCCCCCCTTGAGAAACCCCCTCAGGGCTGCACACGTAGCCAACTATACCATCCTGCCCTAGTTAGGTCGGCTTTCGCGCTTGAAACGGCTTTGACCGTGGGGCTTTCTTTGTTTAGTCTGGGAGGAACTTGGAGGGCGCAAGAGAGGAATTTCGGTGGAGGAACCCTGTCTACTAGATATTATTTAATAGGTATAGGCCCGAAAAATTCACGAATGACTTACACTCAGTTTGCTTTTCTTTTCGTCCTTCCTTCTTCCATCAGAAGTTCGTAAGGAAGCGTTATCAATGGAGGCAGGACGGGATTTCAGCAGGTGAGTCAAGCGACTTCTCTTCGTCTCTGGTCTCTCTTTCCATTCCCTTTTCTCTCCTCTACCCACTTCATGGACCACCAGACTTGTATGCAAATACTTTCCTTATACCGACTAGGACAGCGTTACCACTGACGCTTCCAATTTATCGGAATATAGCATCATACATTCACCGCCGTTTACCTTTCTTGTCGGTGCCAATCACACGCAGCTGACCGTTCAGTCCGGCCTTGCCCGCCATGTCTCCAAACCGTTAGATCATCTCATGAGCAGTGGCGAGACTCGTGAGTCCAAACACCATATCGCTGTTCTGGAGGAAGAGAGCGTCGAGACCTTTGTGGCCTTCTGCGAGTATGCGTACACTGGGGACTACCGTATACCTCCCCCGGGATCTCGCGAGGAGGAGCAGGAGCAATGGCCGGTCAACAATCCCTTCAAGGGCGTGTTCTCCGAAGAGCCCGTTTCGCCCTCTATTTCGCCATACGTTCCATCAACTCAGAGACACAATGAAGCACCCCAAGGTCAGGGATATGATGGGCCGGGTGGCTATGAGAAAGTGCCTCACGCGGCACATCCCATTGACAGTTATGGTGAAAGTGCAACGTCCCCTGAAGACGACTCGTTAGCACCTCCGAATCCAGACCAAGCAGCCTCCCCCGAAGAGGAGGCAGAGCAACAGCCTACCCCCCCGGCTGCAGAGGAAGGGGATCCGTGGGACTCCAATGCAGGCGCATCCGCGGCCAAAGGCAAAAAGGGTAGAAAAAACAAAAAGGACAAGAAAAAGCAGAAGGTCTCCTCACCTGAGGAGGCAACCACATGCCTGACCACCCCGCCGAATACCCCTCCTCCCGAGCATCTAGGTATGCGACAGGACCATCCTGCAGCTGAGGCGACTGAAGAGCAAGATGAGTGGGATCTGGAGCCCGCGGATCCCGCCAACAATGCTCCGTCCGGAATGGCTGAGAGTTGGGAGTATACTGCCCCGACTCCACCGGAAGAGGAGCAGAACAAGACAGATGAGAAAGAGGAGACGACCCAGGAATACGAACAGGGGGCCGATACGGGGCTCATGATCGACAACTCCTTCGCCAAACAGCACTTCAATAGCCATCACGAGGCAGGCATCAGCCTGTGGGATAAGTTTGCCGCCATGGACTATGTTGACCCTCGCGCATTGGAAGGCACCAGACCTCCCAGTGCCCTCTCCACTCAATCAAGCCGATCAGAGTTGCCGTATCTCATCTTTCACGCCAAGCTGTACGTCTTTGCAACGCGCTATTTGATTCCGGCGCTGGCCCAGTTATGCCTGCGTAAGCTACATAGGGACCTTCTACTTTTGGCATTCCCTGACGATGCCCAGCCTGATAGTCAGGATGACGGACAAATAACCCTGAAAGCCCGAATAGTCCTCGACCTGCTCCACTATACCTTTACCAAGACCACCCGTCTCGAGCCCATCTCGCCCACCTCGGCCACTCAGCTTCGAGACAACGAACTACGCAAGCTAGTAGTCCATTATGCGGCATGCAAAGTGCGCGACCTGGCCAGATATTGTCCGCCAACCGAGCCGACGGTGGGTTTTTCTTCGAGCTACCCGGAGAAGCCGTCGGCACGCGGATTGCGAGCATTGATGGACACAACCCCCGAACTGGCTTCCGATTTGGTCTATCGGATGATGTGAAACGACTTTCTTTTCCTTCCTTCCTTCCTTCCTTCCTTCGTTTGCCTGTTTCTTTCATTCAGTTTTCACATTTGCGTTCTCTCCGCCTCATTTTTCTCTCACTTTACCCACTCTTCCTTCACATTTTCCTAATCTAATTCAATGTGCTCCCGTCTCTGCAAACCTTCTATATATATTTGAGTTTATATGCAGCTAGTGGTATAAAGCAACCCCCCGGCACGATGCGTGTAGATGCATGGATGGACACACGGAGCACACAGTTGAAGCGGAATACCGCGGAATCCGTTTTGAAGCTGCGGAGTCCGCCTGCAGACAAGGACCCTATTGACTTTTCGAATGAATACATCGGTCTAGGAGAATAATGAATTTCCTTATGAATTTGATACGAGAGCTAGCATCTGTTTCAGAAACACCTTTTTTTTTTATTAAGATTTTCATTCATGGATTTCTAAACATTGCGACGAAGCCGCTACCGGAACCCTACCATATATGGCTATTCTTCATCTCTGTCGCAACTGTCTGCATGAATTAGCTTTTGTGGCTGCAGGATGCTGATCTCGCGTAGGAGAATTGCGTTTCAAGCCAGGCAGCAGGCATCATCTGCACATGATTCGTCCTACTTCCCCGATTCGGCCCGGTTTAATATCTGGTTAATTGCTTATCCCGTCCGACAAGGGGAGGGGCCCGTCTGCAAGAGCAGGGGTAACCAAGTAAGAAAGAAGTATAGACGGTCTTGTCTCAGGGTGAACGCTATGCCGGATGTTTCTTCAACGTAGATCCTTGAAGTGGGTGCATCAGACCGGCAATGACCGGGTAGCTCAGACGTCACATCCATAGCACTTGGACAGGGTACTACGGAGGACCGTGGGGGGTTCTCGCGTAGGTCTCAAGGCCGTAAAGCAGGTAGTGGATGCAGGCTATATTAGTTTACATTGAAGCACTGCACAAAAGGCGGATTATCCATGTCGCGAAGAAAAAAGAGCGTGGGGTGGGGGAAAGGAAATTGCCATTTGCAAGGGGGCGGAGGAGGCGTATACGGAGGCGAGAGGGGGGATGTGAAAGTAAGCCAATTTACCCGCTCCCTCCTTTGAATGTTTCTGATTTTCGGCGCCAGGAGAAGAAGCTAGATGAAGGGATCATGAGTCTGTTGTTCCTGCTGCAGGCTCACAGGCACTGTGTGTGATCGATGGTGACAGATGACGAGAAAGCGACGCCGAGAGCCCCTAGACCGTCGAGACCCAGATTGAGTTGGCTGGAATTTGATAACGCCAAGAATGTCACAAGTTGAGGGCCACAGTAATTGTCATTGTCGTCTTGAACAAGTCAGTACCCAACCTCTGCACACACACTAGGAGGGTACGAGAGGAGGAAGAAAAGAGGGCCCGCGGTGGAGAAGTGATCATCCAAGGTTCCTCTTGTCTTGGCAGATGCCAGGCTGCGTAACGGCTCATGGAAGATTCCCCCTGCGCTCCAGGAATGTATGGAGAACTGGGGAACTGGAGGAGAGACTATTTCCACAGAAAAAGAGGAGAACCAATTCCATGAAACATTTACCCCCTCGGTACCCCCTAGATTGTTTAGTTTTCAATGGTGTGTCCTAGAGAGGTTCATCATCACGTCGGCTCAGGATAGCATTAGTTAGTAGAAACACAGCCTTTCTTGGCTCGACGTAGATCGAGAGACGATGGTTGGATGAGGAGCCAGGATGACCCTGACGATAAGCTGCACGTCGGGAAAATCGAATATTCCATGTACTATGTATAGCAAAAAGGCAGCATAGTTAAGTTGACCTGTTGAAGAAGCAGAAGCAGAAGGAGAAGCAGCAACCGCAGCCGCGACGAAATGCGGTCACCTGCCAAGCCCGTGACTTTTTCGCCTCCTGCCAAGACTTTCGCGCTTCTCCCTCGCTTCACCTGCTCCTCCCATCCTCGTCATCGCTAGCATCATCAGCATCATCAGCAGAATCTTCGTCATCCGGGTCGGAATGCTCGTCAACGGCATCAAGGATGACCTATCGAATTGTCGCGCAATTGTTATCAACTCAGATGATGAGGATTCTGAACTATCTATAACTATTATTCTCTTGCTGTGGTTTCATCAGATCAAAGACCGCCCCAAGCCTTTGGTTCTTGTAGATCGATCTTTTTGATTAAGCCATGGACCATTCCATCACTAATTTCCACCGCTAATCGCATCCTGCCCTTCCCCCCTTTCCTTATCTCTGAACGCTGATTTGGCTTTGTGGCTCAAGTCTCTCCCAGCAACCACAGCCACTGACAAAGCTTGGCAGCGGACCTCCCCGTCGATGATGCGCTGTCGATCTCTGGCTTGGCCGCCTCTCCGTGGGCGAAACGGGTTGGTTACATCCGCGCACGTTGATACTCCTGTTCCCCCTAGCTCCAGCCGGCGACGTTTCTGACCCTCTGATTCGACACTCGGAGCTCTCTCTATCGGATTCACGGCCGGGATCCTGTCCCTTGGCGCTTATATTTTAACTTTTTTTACTATCTTTGCACCGCTCTCGGGTTTCCGCTTGATTGCCGACTCCCTGGTTTAGGTCCCGTCTTTTTTCTCTCTCTTGCTGACGAGTTGGCACGGCCTTTTCAGCCCGACTCTTTCTTTGTCAGGAAGGACAGGAGACGGAAAAACAAATCAAAGCAAGGGACCAAGTTCCAGATTAACTTGGGTGGCCATTGGAGCCCACGGGTGATCGTCCATTCTTCGCCGCTCGATTCGGCTTCGACCCAGGGAACGCGGCGGTCGAAAAAATTCGGCATCTTGTTTCCATCCAGATTCCATAATAAATTTTTTTTTTTGTCAAACCTAGCCTCTTTCTTTAAAACTCCGATTATATTTTCACTGTTGCCGCGCCACTCATACGCGCCTGCCACTGACGTCGTTGGAGCAGCCATGCGCTTGTCAAATACCGCGTAGACTCCTGGGAAGACGCCTTCATTCCTGCTGTCGGGTCAAACGTATGCATGGTACATACTTGTTGACGTTTTACCTGCACCGTGACCCACTGGCGCCAGAACTATGTGCTCTTGGCAGATTGAAGTGCTGGATGTACCATCCCACTGAAGATCATGAACCAATTCCGTCTTCCTAGGCATCGATACCCGCTCTTCCATGCCAGGACTAATTCCTCTGTTACCCCCTTTGCCATGGTCCACTGGAGCCTTTCCACCCCCTGATATGCACAGACATGAACGTTGCCTACGCCTCCCGCCCCGTGGTGGATTCGGATGACCCTTTTTGGGACCCATGAAGGTTGAATCCACAGGTTTCATGGTCAGACCGAGCCAACCAATGTTGATGTGTCCGTTCTTGCTGGGCTTGTCCACGTCTTGGCGTGTACTCTGATCCTTGACTATGCGCGGCCGATTGATAGCAGCCTGAAGGCTATGATGCCCTATTCTTTGGCACATGTGCATCATAGGGGTGGCTGTTGCAACGCCCTTATATGTATAGGCCTTCGCGCCAATGCACGTCGTTTGTGATAGATCTTTCTTTTGACCAATTGCAATCTCTTTCCATCCTCTCTCTTGCCTTGATTTTCCTTCCTTTTTTCACTCACAGTCCCGCTCTCATTCACATTTTTCTTTTCTTTTTTTGTGTGTCCACTTGGTAGCATACAGTGTTTTGGCTTCAGTAGAGCACCTTGTTGTTTCTTTTTTTGGTCATTCTCTTATCTCTCCCTCGCCTTGGAGAAACAACAGCCTACATCGGGATATAAGTTGACGGGCAATTCCTCTTCTGGAGGGAGACGAGCAGATCTCCTTCACTCAATCCTATACCAACAATATCCTTCTCTCTCTAACCCTTACTGTTGCCTTTCTCTTTCCTTTTTTTTTTTTCTTGACACCTGTCTTCCCTCGGATATCTCCGACCCATATCCTATAGGACATTTTCCTTCTTCCATTTCGTCTTATCCGGTCTTTGAAGTTTGAAACAAGTACAACGTGACCACATCATGTTGGACAGTTACATCCCTCCCTCATCATCCCGGTCCGATGCTGCCATTATTGAGCCCGAGATTGAAAAACCGGGTCCGGTGAGCATTCGGGATCGACTTCGTCATTTCACCTGGGCCTGGTACACTTTGACAATGAGCGCGGGTGGGCTGGCACTTCTCATCGTCAGTCAACCCAACTCTTTCCCTGGCCTAAAAGAGATTGGCCTGGCGGTCTATATTATCAATCTTCTATTCTTTGCTGGGGTTTGTTCTACGATGGCCGCGAGGTTTTTCATCCACGGTGGATTCCTCGATTCTCTACGCCATGACCGCGAAGGTCTCTTCTTCCCGACCTTTTGGCTGTCTATTGCGACCATGATCACCGGTCTATACCGCTACTTCGGCGAAGGAGCTGAACAGTCATTCATAACTGCCCTGGAAGTACTGTTTTGGATCTACTGTGTCTGTACTCTCGCAACAGCAGTGATTCAATACTCCTTCGTTTTCTCCTCACACAAGTATGGCCTCCAAAATATGATGCCTTCCTGGATCCTTCCAGCTTTCCCTATCATGCTCAGCGGCACTATCGCCTCCGTCATCGCCGAACAACAACCTCCCCGCTCCGCTATCCCCATGATCCTCGCCGGAATTACCTTCCAGGGGCTGGGCTTTTCCATCAGTTTTATGATGTATGCGCACTATATTGGTCGATTGATGGAAAGTGGACTGCCCAGCAGTGAGCACCGGCCCGGCATGTTCATTTGTGTTGGCCCCCCGGCTTTCACGGCTCTGGCTCTCGTCGGCATGGCCAAGGGTCTACCGGAGGAGTTCCGAGTGTTGGATGAAGAATTTCCCATCGAAGAGGCCCGCGTTATCGAACTGCTAGCCATCATCTGCGGAGTATTTCTCTGGGCCCTCAGCCTGTGGTTCTTCTGCATTGCCATCGTGGCTGTCCTCCGCACCCCGCCCAAGGCCTTCCATCTCAACTGGTGGGCCATGGTCTTCCCTAACACCGGCTTCACCCTGGCGACCATCACTCTTGGAAACGCGCTGAACAGTCCCGGCATCAGGTGGTTCGGCACGGCCATGTCGATTTGCATCGTGTGCATGTTCCTCTTCGTCCTCGTCAGCAATGTTCGAGCTGTTATTCGAAAGGACATCGTGTTCCCCGGCAAAGACGAGGATGTATCGGAATAAACGTTGTCATCTCACTAGTAACTCTGACATTTTGTTACTTTCTGTCCTCTCCATTGTGTGTTGCTGGTTTTGATGTTTATTTGGTTCCCTTCCCGACGCACATGTCCTACTTTCTTATTTTACTGTCCCATCTTCTTGTTGACTCTATACCCCGTTGAAATTGACTCAACAACCGGCATCTCTGCCTCTCATATTTCTATTTCCTCCTTCCATTTGAATTTATCTGTATGGTCTTGCTCCTCAGACAGATTAAAAAAGGGCTGGCTTGGTATTGGCATGGCGTTCAGGGATTTTGCTTTAGCTTCTTTCTTCTTCATATACCTCCCATATAACCTTTTCGCATTCGCATGAGCCCCCCGCAGTCACTGTCACGTTTCTGTCATCTATTCAAATTCTCTCTATATATACATTTGACATTTTGTTATGGTTCTCATTCCCCGGGTAGCCAATAACTAGATGATGGGAAGAAATTAGAAATAAACGAAAAGAATATTAGGCGAAAGAAGGCTCTACGATGTAAATGAAAGTATTCAATTAGTATCTATTACAATCTTCTTAAATATTATGAATTACCTTTGAAGGTCCAATATCCTTGTACTCCTTCTTGGCGGATGCTGGTAAATAAAAGAATACATCGCACCAACTGTCAAGGAATAATGAATGAAATGGATTGAAACCATTAAACTACGAATATCATGTCAAATGTTGATTGAGTGGTTGTGGTTTCCGTGTGTATAAATATTGAAAGTGTAAAGTTCACAGCACGTACGGGTTGTGGGAGGAATATACCCAAGCATATTCTCCCACCTTACATCTAATTTCCGTCGAATCATTCTATGGATATGTTCCCAGAAATCTAACTACAGCATTATAATATAAATGATACCAAGGGGCCCAGAGAAGCTTCAGATTATGTAAATATCTGGGTCATTGTAGACCTTGGTCCGAACTTATTCAAGACACCCAGTCCCATGAGATGTCAAGAGACGATCCCCATTTCTTAGCTGTTGGGATGCCGTTCATGTTAATAGGTGTGCAGATGATACCGCTATAAGATGGTTGATCTATGCTCTTCCAGGATGCGAGACCCGGGGAATTTTCTGATTTACGAAGTGGAAGAATACCTGGAGATTCATGACATGATGGAATGATATTTGCGAAGGTCCATTCTATTCATCCATCGATATAAACCAAAAAAGCAGGAAGAAGCACAATAAGCATGAGAAATAAAATGAAGTCAACTATGCAGCGTAAACTCAGTGCATCACTTTTGGATGGACAAAGGTTCGTGTTCCTGGATAGTGCAGAAATCTGCAGGTGCTAGATACCTGCAATCCATTTCTACGAACTTGCCGGTTTTTCAGCTCTTTCAGATATTCATCGAGGCTCATGGTTTTAATTTCGGGCCTGACTTCGGCGTTCTGGATGTAGGTGAAGACTGAGAAATCGTCGTGTGAGCCCACCGAGTTTTGCGAATATAGAAGGAATAAGAAAGGCTTCATACCTATTGATTGAGTTTCACCCACTCTTTGGAGATTTTGTCGAGTTGGACCTGTGCTAATATCATGTCAGGGATTTTGTTTTTGAATTTGGAAGCCTTGTTGTAAAAGTCCTCGACCATAGTGCCCATGCTATCCCAGCCACCTTCGAGCATTTCGATGGTTTTTAGGGCCGGGCTGATAAGTTCACTGTACCTTCATTGCGGTCAAACTGGACTGCAAGGTCTTGTGTAGCTGAATTTCCTCTTTGTAGTCTTTTAACTTTTTGTTTAAATCCTGAATATCCGCCGTATATTTTTGATATCGCGTTGATTTTGACTATACATCACAGGCCCAACAATAGTACCCACCACGAGGCTTTCGCCTCAGGTCAGCATCTGCGCAGTGCCAATGGGATTTCAATTACTTACACCTAGATATACGCTGCTGTCAGCTCGTTCAAACGATCTGTGATCTACAGTTAGCCATGGATTGAAAGGCGGAAGAAGAAGACATGGCAAACTCATCACTGTCGATAGCGTTCTGGTCCTTATCTATAGCTTTGATGTTCTGGTTAATATCGGCTTGCAATTCCTTAATTGAGCCAAGGTCTTCGTCCAGAATGGCTCCCGTGTTCTCATCTAGAGCAGTGAGACGTGCGGCCAGTTCTTCACTTTTGTTGTCGAAGGCATCTAAAGCTTCCTCAATTTTCGTAATATGAAGTTTCACGGGAGCAATACTCTCGAGCAGGTCCTTAGTGATATCAACGATGGTCTGGCGGATTTCTTTTTGCGCGTCCGGATCATCTGTTGCGTTAAGAGTCTCGGCACTTATTCAGCATTATGACATAACTAACTAGTATGAATCATCTATATCTTCGTCCCCAGCATTTTCGGACTACTCGTAGATTTGCTGTGATAGAATGTTCATCTTTCTCCAGGTACACATGTTGTCGAATTCGCTGTCATCCGGGTCTGATTCCTTGACCCATTTCTTGCTTTCTTCGTCGTCATCCTCCACAAATGCCTTACATTCGTCACTCCAAAAAGGCGACACGTCACTTCGAGACCACCTCCATGGCTTGACCCTCCATATCTTCTTTACTCCGGGTCCGCTGGCTTGAGACTGGTGCTAGAGCGTTACATGAGTTGATCCTGACATCAAGATGCATCTACTTCATATATTGGAAGTATGCTTGCTTGCTGAGGGTGTGCAAGCCTAGTGCAGTTACTAGTTGTCTTCTTACAATTTCGGATTTTTCACAGTAAAATGAAAATCTATCGCGACAAAGAATATTGAATACAGCTTAGAATATAGGTTGGATGTATTTGATAATCCTAATTGCACCGTTTACGTTTAACATGGTCTGGACAAGCATTAACCTTCCTACACATCAGATAGCGACGGAGTAGCGACTTATCCCTTGAATGATGACGTTGTCACCTGACAAGATAGAATCAAGATCTCTTATACATTCCTTGAGTTAGACGTGAAACATTGATCGTCGCATATGCACGTTCGTTCCTATCTAAATCATCTGCGTACTGCTCTCGCAACCGGTGAGGTAAATCTCTCCCACGCCTAGTTGTCTTCACCTAATTTACCTCGTAGTAAGGGGCTCATTTGAATACTCTAATCAGTCTGAGATAATTGTTTATTGCTTTCGATTGTGATCTGCAGATTGCTTATTATCACATACCTACACTTCAGTCAGACCCGGGACCTTATGTAGACCATTCCAATGACGTGCTTCGACATTTACTAGACTCACAATCTGATAAGTATGGGCATTTTCTTGATTTCAATACCCCTTGCATTACAGGATGCTGATGACATACAAATATCTAGCGCCCGTAGCTATCTCACAGAGTTCCCTCAAACAACTGATTGACCATCTCTATCACTCGTTCTGTTTTCCAATTCCAATCTCCAGTTCTTCGGATATACGTGCCTAAGTCAACTACCCAAGACTAAATCTGACCTCACTATGAAGTTGCCTACTCTTTTGATCTCTTCTTTGATCTCACTGGTCCTCGCACAGCCTGAGGTAAGTTTGGTTTCTATATCTCACGAGTGTGATATGTTTCATCTAATATAAATCTGCGATCAGATGCCCCACACCAACAACCAAGCCGAGTCTGTCAGTGCCAACATGCATCGCGAGAACCATCAACCTGGAGAGGCCATTGCTGGTGTGAAACGCAACCCCTAGGAGCAGGTTGATAATGGTGGAGTTGGTGGAAGTGGTGGTAACGGAGGCTTGACAGATAATCTTGATGATTTACTATCTGGTGATGCTTCCAATCTTGGAGGCGATGGTGGCCTCGCGAGCGGTGTGGGCCTTTAAATTTGAGCTATTGAGAAAGTACTCTATGGGTGATCAAGGCCATGGGGATCGGATCACTCCTTGCCAGATGGTATGGCTATAGACGGCGGCGGTGGTACGGAGTTCTCGAAGGGGGATTATGTCCATTGATAATGAATAGACTCATTTCTTGGTCCCATGGCTCCTCTGCTGTTACCTGTTCATATCTTCTCATGTTTAAGCACGCCATGTCAGAGCATTGTCCGGTGTAGGTATCTCGGGAATCCCATGAGTTGCGATGTTACGGAACAAGAATGAAATGAATGGGACATGAGGCTTGCGTTTGTTGTCCTTCACAGCATGTTATCGAGACGAGCGGTTGATATATTCATTCTGTATCGGTGGGAGGGCTCAACGTGAGACGGGCGACTCACCATGACACTGACGTCAGATATACCACTGTGAGTCATGAACCGTCACACAACATGGTCTGTGGTCTTTCCCCCCTTTCATCTTTTCTACTTCATGCTTTTCAGATCTCATTGTTCTTCGCCAGCGCACGACCGGTCGATGATATGCAACGCTAAATACTCCATACTGTCGCTCGAAGTAAACAGCTAAAACCTGAAAGTCCACGACTAATCTTAGCCCCGAGCTCAAGAATCTCCGATGAGTTCACTAATCTGCCATGCTGTGACAGTGGTTCGGCTCAAAGTATCTGTAAGCTTGTTTGCCACCTGCGTCTTCTTCGAGCCAGTGAGGCTTGCATGGCTTTGCAGAAAACTACTGCAGGGGTCTAGAGTTGCACGGGAACGGGTGTAGATTGATCGATTTTCAGCTATAGGACTATATTTAAGCATAAACCAACTGTTTTCTGCTCCACTGCACCAGATCCCTTCGTCTACCGTGATCTTTTGAGGATACTCATGTATTGAATAGATCCTCTACGAGATACTAACGATGCCTATTGGATCATCTGTTGGACTTGTTACTATTTTTATTTGTGAGTAACAAAGATCTGTCCCCCCATTCCGGTCGCGAGAGTTGGCCGCTAGGTCAAGGGAAAACCCCTCAGGTAAAAACCCTGACCAGGACATGGATGATAAGTACATGATTTGTGAGCACAGGAATCCGAATTTCCGCCACTTCAACCAACCCCAACTCCTCAGAATGCTCTCCAACGAGAAATTGCTGCCCGGATGATGAAATGCTAAATCGCTCGTTAGACAAACCTTGCTTGGATTGCAGGGTCGACTTACGCTGCCAGGAAAAACCATTCGCTTCGCTGCGATGCGGGCGGAGTTTTTTTTTTTTAGCCAGCCTGGAGAATGTCAGTCGGGATCCGCAGACACAAAGGAGCAGATACAAAGGAGCGATGCACTTACAAGCTCTGTCACTTACTGGGCGGGCCCACGGGGCAGCTACTGGAGAGGAGCTCGATCAGTTCTTCACCGAATGCCTTGGCTTTTGGCAGCAGATGGTATCTGCAATTAAAGTTAATGAACGAACGGGAGTCACAGGCGTAAGACAGTAACTACTCACGCTTTCTCGGGCAAGACGCCGCTGGGCCCGCAGTGTGAACGATTGTTTTTAGCCAGCCTGGTGGTCATCAGCAGTCGCTCGACCAGGAGGTGGGATCTTGGGTGACTTACAAGCTCTGTCACTTACTGGGCTTGCCCACGGTGCCAAGCCAATTGGAGAAAGAGAGGGCCAAGGTGTCCATGGAGGCATGAAGACGAGCATGGGGTCGGCATATGCCGTGCGGAAGTGGAGGCCTACGCCGGGTTAGAACCATGCATGCAGCAAGAGCAAGGGAGGATGCCGTCTCCTCACCTGAGCATGTCCCTTGAGGGAGCTGGCCTGCGGTGTGAGAATTTTTTTTAGCCAGCCTATCGAGTTTGTCAGTAGGAGGATCCAAGTTGGAAGGAGCAGACGTGACTCACAAGCTCTGTCACTTACTGGGCCTGCCACGATGCTAGGCTAGATGCTCTGCCAGGAGGATGGTAAATTCAAAGCTGCAAAGGAACCGAAGCCCATCTCAAGTGACCCTGAGAAGCTCGAGAGCCATGTGTTAGTATCATTTCGCGTGGTAGAACCACCGCGAAGTCATGTCTGACATCGGGCGTGGGTGCCTAAGAGAGCCCACAGATCAGCAACAGCCTGGAGGAAGGACTTACTGGCATGAGCGAGCATCTAGAACGAGAATCGGGACTGGCTGGTATGATGCAGATGTTGTAAATGGCAGGCGTGGCTGATCGTGCCGTGTGTGGGACTCTGAAGCAGTGGGGGAAGGTGAGATGGAGAGAGAAGAGAAGTGTGGAGGAGGGAAGGAGGGAGAGAGGGAAAGAGGCCAGCAGGCAGCAGCCGAGGCGAAGAAGCAGGCAACGATGGTGCAATCTGCTGGTGAAGGAAGGAGCGCGAAAGCGTGACGTCGTACCTGTCGGATTGGGAAGTCGTGATGGACGGCGGCCAGGAGGTTCCGTTTACCTGGCATCAGAGAAGAACCAGGGAGATTTCGGGGGACTTCAGGAGAATCAGAGAGATGGAAAGCAGTAAAAAGAATCAGATTGCCTCGGTGGATTGCGCGTGGTGGTTATTATATACAAAAAGAGCCAAGGGGCCAGGAGCGAGTGCACACCGATCTCCCCCCTGGTCATGAGGCCCAACTGCCAACAAAAAAAACCCCGAACTGTCCATTCCCATTCCAATGCCACGACCCATTTACCATTTCTCTCCCCCAGCGGTGACAGTGTTTCACCTCAATTGCGCTCCCTTGCAGACAAAGCGAAGTTGTTGTCCGCTTGGCGTGAACGCCGCCACGTGGCTCGGAGCCAATGATCGGAGCGGTGAAATGTCTGGCTGCATACGTGGTGTCCCTCGCTTTCGAATGAAGCCCGACCGTCCCAAGTTAGGCAGATATATATAATCTCACCTCACTTACGTGGTGTTCGGGTCGTTCGTCGTTCGTGCAAATCTGAAACCGCTTCTCTCCACCCCCCTCCGCCAACGGGTTCCACACGGACCCTCTCTGAGAAGTCGGATGCATCGACGGATCCCTTGCAAGCTGGCGGCATTCTGAAACACCGCTGTAACCAAGATATAAATTTCTCGAGAAGACAAACAGGGGGCAGCCAATGGTGGTGAAGCCCTCTTCGGATCGTCGGCCATCAGGCGACTTTACGTCCGACGTTACCAATGCCTCGTCCAACCACGCTGATAATGACGTCGCCATTCTCATTCTCTCCGGCAGCATCGCGAAGTCCCCAACCGGGCGCACCGAATTTGGAGAGATCGCGGGCCAACTGAATGGTGCTCTCGTCGGCGATCACGTCGCGACCGACTTGAAGGCGACCAACGTCCTCCGATCCCATCGTCATCAGGCCGAGCATGGTGGGCACGGCAGCCGGGGCAACGCAGCCGCCTTTTGAGACGACCTCTAGCAACTGATAGGCGCACTGTTTCCCGATGTCCTCAGGCGGCTGGCCACCCGAAGGCGGAGACGCGACATCCGCGGAAAATAGACAGCCTGTCGACGATTCAGCCACTAGCGACAACCCAAATCCAAGCCCAACCTTCTTTTTCGCCGACGCATTGGTCTTCTCGGGAGCGGGCACAAGTGGCGCGGGAGACATATCAGAGAAGATGTAGGTGTCCGGCGACAAGGGGTTCAGGATCCCACGGGCGGTTTCGATCATTCGTGCGTTGTTGGAGCCTGAAACGCCGACAGAATAAGCCACTCCGCGAACCCTCTTGATCTTGCCGGCATTCATCAGGTGCAGGGTCTTCGGCAGGCGGACTTGATGACCAAAGACCAGCTGAACTTCTCCCCCACCACCGCGGCCATGTAGACCCGGATTGGATCGTCGAAGGACCCGAAGCTCGATGTTGTTGAAGATCCCAAATTGGTTGTAGAGAGGTAGGATGGCCGTGCGCACGCTGTCCACCGACATGTCGCCAGTTGGCGTAGACGACGTAATCACACCGGGACCCGTAAAAAGCACTCTCATAGGAGCCTTGGAGAAGGGTGCGAGAAGGCAGAGAGGCAAAAGATAGTAGCTGACACCGCGATTACACCCAGCCGGGAGCTCATGCTTGATGACACCACTGCTGTTGGCACCGTTACCAGTCGCGCTGCCCGTGATTAGACCAGGCTTATAAACGAGAATTGTTCCGGTGTAGGAGATTTCCATTTGCGATCCATTGGTGACGGCCTCCAGCAAGCGGAGGAAGGAAATTTCGTACGGCGCCAGACCGGGGTTATCAGATGAAGGGCGGATCTGAGAGATATGAATGGTTCGGCCAGTTAAGGTCGCGAAAACTAGGCGATATACGAAATTTTTATGGGAGGTGAACCGGAGGGGAGGCTGCGAGGTCGACGACATATTGACGAAATGGGATACTCTCCGGATCCCCGTGGTGGAAGAATTAGACGGTGTTGATGCTTTGGACCGCTATTGGATCTCCGAGAAAGAAAAAAATGCGGCCGCAGGAAAAATGATCGGGGGTGCATTCTTCCGTTCCGGAGCCGGAGTTTATCCCGCGGTTATCTCCGGGCGGAAGATGCGCATCATCTACTCGTCGTTATCTGATGATTATGAATCAGACCTCTTCCCTCGATTCTATTATCTATCGCGACAACGCGTGAGGCTCACCTTTGGACGAATACCTCACACTTTTGTATAAGTGCCACAATGCTTCAACCAGCTCTCAACATCCCAAAATGGTAACACAAGCTCTTCAGTCCGCAATTTCGACTCTGCCCCTCCCCCGCAGTACTTTTTGCGCCAGAGACATTCCACAATCCACATTCCACAACCGCATGAGAACCCCACTGATTCCAAAACGACAGGCTCGAGTCCAACTCGCATCTCCTCCAACCCCCTGTTAACAACTACTGCGTGTATCATCCGTCCGCGCCTGCCACCTCCGGCTACACCGTGATGATCGTCGGGGGCCCGAACGCGCGAACCGACTACCACATCAACTCGACGCCGGAGTTCTTCTACCAACACCGCGGCTCGATGCTCCTCAAGACTGTCGACACCTCCGTCTCGCCCGCCGTCTTCCAGGACATTCCCATTCACGAAGGATCCCTGTTCCTGCTGCCAGCCAACACGCCGCACAGCCCAGTGCGGTTCCGCGACACCGTGGGGGTCGTGATGGAGCAGCCGAGGGAGAAGGGCGCGGTGGACGTGATGCGGTGGTACTGTCGGGGTTGTGAGCAGGTGGTGTGGGAGAAGCAGTTCGTATGCACGGATCTGGGCACGCAGGTCAAGGAGGTGGTGGAGGAATTTGCGGGCGACGAACAAAAGCGGACCTGCAAGGCGTGCGGCACCCTTGCGGAGAGCAAATACAGGGAAGGGGAGGTTGTGCAGCCGCCCAGGTTTCCGGAATAGGGGGTCAGAGTGGGTTGAGTGGGGTTGAGGGATGTTATCTATCTGGGTATTTAATCTACGAGGTGATGTTGTGACGAAGCGAAAACGAAAGGCCTGGTGCGGCAGGCCCGATGGTATGAGGTTATGATGATGCCGAGTGCATGTCACATCACGCTCCATTCGATATTATCAAATTCATATGTAATTATCAAACAAGAGGGGAGTATACAGTAGGGTAGTCTTGAGATTATCTGGATTAGTCTAGACCAAGTCTAGTGTATGTATAAGGAGAGAGAAAAATGAGGGTTCAGATGTTAAGGTACGCTGGAGAGAGATAGGATAGTGGGAGGTGACGCGGAGTAGATCAACAATTCGGAACGAAAGACACGGAAACAAAAAGGCCATAGACATGGATATGCAATACAGGTGGACCGGCCAATATGCTGACCCGGGCAGGCATTCTATGAAGTTTCGCCCAACTGAAAGAGAGATTGGATATCAAAACATGAACCAGGACAACAGCCAACAGCCGAAAAATAAAACAAGATTCTGGAAGGCTCGAAGAGAATCAATGATCTCCGGAAGCGCAATCAAAGAAGAGAAGACATAACGCACGATTAAAGGTAATAAGCAATTCACTATCGCCGAGTCGGCGAAGAAACGGGCCCGCTCAAAGACTGCGTCTTGCATCAACTAGGCGAATATCTCAAAAAAGGTTGTAAGGGGAAAAAGGATAAAAGAGAGAAAGATAAAAGGGAAAAGGAAAAAGAAAAAGAAAGGTAGGGGAAAAGAAGCCACTAGGGTCATCAATGACCGTGTTTCATCAATAGACATTCAAAACAATGAGTTTCGATCAATCATCAAATGGGCAGTCGATGCTTTCGTGCCCATCCTTCTCGCATAGAGCGCACCATTTCGAATCATCCACGACTCCGCTGGACTTGCCGGCGACTGCATCCATGGAGGAGGAAGAGGGCAGGCCTCCCACTCCTTTTAGTCCTTCCATGACCACGTCCCGCCCGGTTTTCTGAGGTGCGGTACTCTCTTCGTTGCTCGACGAGGCAGTGTCTATATCCGTAGAGGCGCTAGGAGTGGTCTTCTCATCAGCAGACACCTCGTGGGATTCCTCCTTGGAGGAAGGGGCTTTGCTTTTGTTGTCGGCACCGAACATGTTCGTGCAGCTCAGGATGTCGTGACCGCCGGTTTCACAGATCTCGCACCACAATGAGCCGCCGTCATCAGAGCGGCCATCGGATTCATGCATGGTCTCTAGGCGATGGTGGGACGAGTCCGACGGACGGCGAAGAGGGCCGGGGTAGGCCTGGTATTGCTGCTCCTCGTGCTGAGGCTGATCATGCCAGTCGCTAGGTACCACGGTGCGATCCGACAGCCGGTGCGCATGGTTGATTGTATTGGCACCTCCGATTTTCCCCGTCGAGCTCGACGGTTTGTGCTGGGCAGGCGCGGCCGTGACGGTGGAACTGCGAGTCCGACCGGCACCGTTGAGCTGCAACTGCTGAAGCTCACGCTCAAGCTCTTCAATACGGAAGGTCTTACGTTCCGTGATCCGCTCAAATTCCTGCACGCGTTGTTCCAGGTCAGAGACGTGGTCTGGATCATGCTCCGGGCCGCCGTTCGTTGCGTAGCCATTCTGGAGTGTAGGCAAGCTATGGTCGCCTCGGCTTAGGGAATGGATGATCGCTTTGAGCCCGCGGATTTCATCGTCCTTCTGGTCTAGTTCCCGGGAGTGCTGCTGGCCGTCCGCGGTGCCGTGGGCCTCTTGCAGCGTCGCGGAGTTGTCGCGCTCCTTCTTCAACTCCAGTTTCGTCCTCTCCACCTCTCCTCGCAGGAATTCAACTTCCGCGCGGGCTTCAGCCTCGCCGCGCCGAGCATCCTCCAGACCCTCCTCCAATTCCGACACTAACTCCTCCAGCTGCTTGAGTTGGCGGGCAACCTCCTCCACGTCCTCCCCCCGGTCTTGTAGCTCTTTGTTCGCTTGCAGTAGTTCATCCAGGCGCTGTTCGTAAACACGTTCGGTCTCCGACGCAGCCACCTCCAGCGTATCCAAGGTACTTCGGAAATCGGCCCGGTGCAAGTCGAACTCCGCCGTCAACTGGGCAATTCTCTCGTTCTTCTCGCGCAGTTGAGCCCGGATGGATAGGGCATCGGATCCCTCCAGCTCCTCCAACGTCCGCTGGAAATCAGCAAGCGTGTGGGTTTGTTCGTCCAGCTGCTTATCGCGGTCAAGCAGTTGCTTCTCCAAGCTCTTCACCTGGTCCCGCAACTCCTGCATCTCCGCCACCATCACATTGTTGCGGTGGAAGTCGGAAGTCCGCGTTGACGACACGTCATCGTCGGCACTCACACGAGAGGGCGGTCGGTCGGACGCGCGGGACGGGGGCTTGACGGGACTGCGCGGGTAGCCGTTGGGACTGGGCCCGGTTCTCGAGGCGGCGGAGGGGGTACGGAGACCGGCCAGGGTGAGCTTGGAGGGCGGAGGGCCGCGAGGAGATTCGGGACGTGGCAGCGAGGGCCGTCTCATGCGTGGAGGCCGCACCGACGAGCTGGGACCGACGGATTTGCTGAAGTTCACGGGCCGAGACGGAGTCGGGGGGTTAACGGTGACGGAGGCCGGACCGGAGGGTCGCTTCGTGACGTATTTGTTGTTGTTCATGGGCACGAAGATGCCGGAACCTGGCACGGAGGTATTGAAGTATTTCTTGCCTTCAACATCGCCACTGTTCTTTCCTCTCCTGGCATGTTCCGAGGCCAGTTCAATGCCCGCAAACTTGCCCGGTTTCCCAGCCACGCCACCCAGGTATTTCACGGTGCCGTGCATACCCCCGGGGACGTTCACCAGATCCCCGACCTGGACTTCGTCGAGCGGCGCCATTTTGCGAGGGGATGTGTTGGGCGGCGACACCGACTAAGAAAAAGAGAGGCCCACAACGGGGGGAAAGAAGAGAGCAAGAGGACGTCAGTGGGATTTAATATAGGCAACAGAAAAGGGAGGACCGCAGAAAGGCAGACAGGTCAGAATAAAAAAACAAGAAAGGAAAGAAAAAAAAGAAGAAAGAGAGGGAATCAAGCGAGGAGGAAATAGGAACGCAAGAAGGGAACGAGAGGGGGCAGAGGAGTGACCGATCATAGACGCGGGCTCATAGTGTCGAGAAATCGAGCTACTAGTTCGTCCTGCTCGGAGGATTGTTTTCTGGATGAACGGCCTCAGTTGGGCAGCGAAGGGCAAATCCACTTTTCCGTCGGCAGTCGAAAGGTGTACCCAGAGCAGCAGCCTGGCCCTGCAATTTTAACGGCTGTAATGCCCTTGTCTCAGAAATTCATTTGGCCGTTGGGCGTCCTTTTGTTATGTTTAATTTTTTTTTTCTTGTTTCTTCAAGGAGCATCACAGGAGTCTAGGAGAGAGGTGCATAACTAGTTATAGTTAACTTACCACTGTACATGACAGATTATGTCATCTGCATAAGGGTATTGTCACACGGACCATACGGCGGTATCGCTGCCTCAGTCTCCGATAGTATGGCCTGAGGTATTCTTTCTGGTGTGCAATTTAATTTATCTACGATTGATGTAAAATAGAGAGGACCAGAAAGGCACGGGAATCAATGATCGAAATATCAAACAATAAACCCGAGTACAAGTGTCCCCAAATCAATTCCCAATCCCTCAATCCATCGCTGACTCGTCTTTCTTGGCTTGGGTCTGTCTCCCCTTACCTTCCAGACCTTCTTCCGGCCACTTGTCTGTCTCTCTTCCCTCCCTCTCCCTCTCTTTCTCCCTTACTCCGTACTCCAAAGTCCAATTCCGACCAGACCCAATAATTTCCCCGTTCGCATCCACGCCTTAACGGTGGAGCTCATCCGTCACCACGATCTGCTGGTCTGGCGCTTTGCCCACGGGCTGTCTCTCTCCCTTCCCTTCCCTTTCCTTCCCTTGCCCTCCCCCGGCTTTGCTCGGTCGCTTGCTGGAAATTCCTATGATCCATTAGAACACTTGAATCGCCCTCAACATGGCTCAATACTTTTTCGACCTCCTTTATAACTTCACGGATTGCATGTGCTGTTTCCCCAGCACGCCGCAACTAAAAATCAACAACCGCAGCTTCAAATTGTTACGCCTTCTCGGTGAAGTCAGTGATACCTTCAACTTCAATCATCTTGCTTTTTTTTTTTTTTATCTGCTGTGTGTCATCTCAGAAGATTGCTAGCTAACACTCCGCGCACTCGACTAGGGTGGTTTTTCGTACGTCTACCTCGTGCAAGACAAGTCGACGTCAGAGCTGTTTGCGCTCAAGAAAATCCGATGTCCGTTCGGCCAGGAATCCGTCTCCCAGGCGCTGAAAGAGGTGGAGGCCTACAACCTATTCACCAACCAGACCAACATCATCCACTCGATAGACCATTGCGTCTCGACTGAGCCGGGCTCGAAATTCCGATCGGACGGGGGCGACCCCGGTTCCAAGACCGTTTACATCCTGCTGCCGTACTACCAGCGCGGAAACCTTCAGGACTCGATCAATGCCAACCTGGTCAATCACACCCGATTCCCCGAAAAGCGACTCATGGTGTTGATGCTGGGTGTCGCTACGGCCCTGCGATCGATGCACCAGTACCGTGTGAAGAGCGGCGCCGGAACCACTCGTAAAGCGAAGGCTGTGAGACGCGAGGGTGAGGAGGCGGATGCGGAGGTCGGCATGCGCATGCCGAAACCGAAACGACGCGCCAGCCAGAAGGTGGATGAGGACGACGAGGAAAATGAACCGTTGATGGATGACGAGGTCACACGAAGCCAGGAAGGTATCCAGGACGGCGATCTGCGCCCGTATGCGCACCGCGATATCAAACCCGGTACGGCTTACCCTGGTCCTGAATGACCACCCAAGGTAGATGGCAAGACTAACGGATGCTTGCAGGCAACATCATGATCGACGACGACGGACAAACCCCGATTTTGATGGATCTCGGCTCGCTGGCCCCCAGCCCCATCGCCATTACCTCGCGTTCGTTGGCGCTGGCGGTGCAAGACACCGCCGCGGAGCACAGCACGATGCCATACCGAGCACCCGAACTTTTCGACGTCAAGACCGGGTCCGTCATCGACACCAAGGTGGATATCTGGTCGCTGGGATGCACGCTGTACGCATGCTTGGTGGGTAAAAGTCCCTTCGAGGCTCGCAGCGAAGAGACCGGTGGTAGTCTGAGCATGTGCGTGCTGGGTGGAGACTGGAGGTTCCCCGACGAAAAACCGAGCACGGGCAAGGGCAAAGGCAAGGCTGGCGAGGAAGCGCCCAAGGACGGCGCCACGTCGATCAGTCCGGCCGTCAAGGAGGTTGTCCGCAAATGTCTGCTGGTGGAACCGGCGGAGCGCCCGGATATCGACGAACTGATTCAGATCCTGAAGGATGTTATCACGGAACTCGGGGACGATGAAAATTTGGCCGGTAGCTCGAGCTAAGAGAAGGATCACTCAAAATTCTGCCTGAGTTTACGTTCAACGTTGAAATTGCTGGTCTTGTATTATTTTTCTCACGCGTCTGGCGTTATCCGGGACCGACCGGATTGTATCATATGTGCCTAACCCTGAACATATCTTCTCTCTCTGGTCTCCTGGCGGCGGACTAGTTTCAGATTACATTTTGTTATCCTACAATTGCATTTGCATCGACCGCAGCGGGTTTTCTGCGGACGTGGACAAGAATTTGAATTGGTTTTTCCTGTAGACTGCCCGATAGCGTCCAGCTAAGCTCCTCGATCTGCTCCTCCCAAGGCACTAAAGGGCGACTCCGCACGAGGGCGAGTGGCTCCATTGACAGGCGGCACCGCGCATCCCCGCTTCTTCTCCAACTTATCAACCCTCGCTTTCTCTCTTCTCGATAACAGGCCGATGTCACCTCGGAGATCGTCCTCATCATCATCATGATTGGATCCTTCGGCATAGCGGACTCTTCTCCGACCTGCTTATCAGCTATTGGGACTGTCAAAAGGTGGAGATGACACAAGAATCCAATAGTGGCTGATGAAATGCAAGGGATTGGACTCGCTGTCTGCTGATTCGATGTCGGACAGAGTTTATATTCCGGCTTTCTTCGACAATTCTTCCTGAATTCCTTTTTGTTCCTTCAACGTCATCCTGCCAGCTGAACCAGTTCTCGCTCTTCTGCCCGTTAACCACCCACCCACCCACACACAACATGGCACCGTCTGTGGACCGGGACGCAATTCCGGGCACGTTTACTCTAGTGGACCTCGAACATGTCATGACGAGTCAGCATTTGGATCGAGGGGATAGCGATATCGTCCTGGTGCCTCAGCCGTCTAATGATCTAGATGATCCGCTGAATTGGTCTCCGAGACGGAAGCTGATGTCTACGGTCTGCGTGAGCGTGTAAGTCAGGCCGATCTCATCGAGATTTCGGTAATGCCGTTCGCTAAGATCTGTCAAGATACACCTTGTTTAATGGAATCGCATGCTCTGTCGTCTATTCGGTCTTGGTTCCCCTTTCCGAGGCGACGGGTGTCAGCGTCAGTACGTTGAACGAGGGAACAGGGTTTCTGTTTCTACTGGCCGGTTGGGGACTCTTGTTCTGGCAGCCGTTTGCGCTGCAGTACGGCAAACGGTTGACTTATATCATCTCTCTGGTTGGAGCAGCGGTGAGATGTACTTCAACCAATATAGAAGAGACAGAGTAGCTGACCACGAATCGTTCGAATAGGGCGCTTTAATTTGGGGGTAAGAATTATGCAAATGCACATAATAGCCACGACGCTGACAAAAAAAAAAAAGCCCATTCATAAGCAACAACGGACAATGGATTGGCCGAAGCATTCTTGCTGGATTCTTCACGGCCCCGATTGAAGCTCTTCCAGAGGTGTCTGTCACGGACGTGGTGAGACACTTCCCCTCTCTCACCCTCCAAAGATCTACTCGCTGACGGTATCAGTACTTCACCCATGAGCGAGGAACATATATGGCTCTGTACGCCTTCTTTCTCGCAGGAAGCAATTACTTTGCGCCGGTTATCTGCGGGTTCATCGCCGAGTACCATGGCTGGCAATGGGTGTTCTACTGGCCGGCTATCTTCTGCGCCGGCGCCATTATATTTCTGTTCTTCTTCATGGAAGAGACAAATTATTCGCGCGACACGGGCCATTCCACGGCAATGGGGGATACTGTCGAGCCCTCCACCACGACTTCGGAACAAGGAGATCAAGAGAAGGTGGCGCCGGTTGCCTCGCGAGGGGATACGGCATACGGCACGATCTACCCGAAAAAGACGTACATCCAGAAACTATCCCTGTGGGGACCACGGCAGCCCAGGAACAACATGCTGCGGCGACTCTACCACACACTGTACTATCTCTCGTGGCCGGTGATCTTCTACGCGGGTTTCTCGTACGGGTCGTATCTGGTGTGGTTCAACGTGTTGAATGGTACCGCATCGATAATCTTGGGTTCAGCGCCATATAACTTCAGGTATATTTCCTTCCTTCAAGATTCTGAGAGCATGACTGACCCAGTGAAGCTCTTCTATGGTTGGTCTTAGTTACGTTGCGTGCTGCATCGGGGTCGTTCTTGGGTATGCTTCCCTTCTCACCTCGTTCTCACCTCGTTCTTACTGCATATATGAGCAACATAATGACAAGTATGGCAGGTCCCTATTCACCGGCCGCTTCAGCGACTGGCTGACCATTCGGCTTGCGCGGCGCAACAACGGAATCATGGAGGCAGAGCAGCGTCTCTGGCCCTTCGCAATCTGTCTGATCACAGTCCCAGGATCCTTAATCCTCTGGGGCGTGGGCGCAGCGCACCATGTCCACTGGTTCGGACTGTTAGTTGCCATGTGCGTTCTTGCCATGGCTAATGCGTGCGGTATCACGCTCAGCGTCAACTACCTAGTCGACAGCTACCGGGAATTGAGTGGTGACGCCATGGCCAGTATTATTTTGGTGCGGAACACGATGTCATTTGCCATTGGATATGGGTGCGTTTCAGAACCTCTATTGTAGGAATGTGGACATATGCTAACGTTGAGACCATCGATGGACAGGATCACCCCGTGGATCAACAACCTTGGGTACCAGAACTGTTTTATATCAGCCGCTTTCATTGGCATGGCCTGTTCCGCCGTCTTCCTGGTGATGATCCGATGGGGGAAGACGTTTCGAACCCGCAGTCGCGAGAAGTACTGGAAGCTGGTGGAAGAGAACTGGGAGAAGGGGATGAGCCATTGAAAATATTGAACGTCTTTATGTATCCACTAGGTAGTCCATAGAAGGAACGAGCATAACATACACCCCCAAACCTCATCATCCGTTTATTTATTCCTTCCTTCAAACGCAATCCCTCACTTCAGATAAATGTCCCCCTTCTCATCATACCCAATCTCCCTCATCTTCACATTCCTCAGATGACTCACCCCCTTGGACAGCTCGCAATCATGATAAAACAAATACCACCGCCCCCGAAACTCCACGATAGAATGATGCGTCGTCCACCCAACCACAGGCTCCAAGATCCGGCCCCGATACGTAAACGGACCCCAGGGACTCTCGCCCGTCGCATACGCAAGGTAATGCGTATCGCCCGTCGAGTAACTAAAGTAGTAAGTCCCCTTATACTTGTGCATCCAGGCAGCCTCGAAGAACCGTCTCTCGTGATCATCCGCCGCAATGGGGTTGCCGGTCTCGCCGTCAAGAATCTGTAGTTCCTGCACGGGCGTGTCGAATGATAGCATGTCTTCGCTGAGTCGCGCTACCCGAGGGAATAAGGCTCGTTCGCCCGCTCCGGACGGTTCCTGTGGTCCGGTTTTCGAGGCGTCGAAGACCCATTCCCCTTCTTCTCCTTCTCCCTTGGACTTGGACCAACACTGTAACTGCCCGCCCCAAATGCCCCCGAAATACAAATACCCTCTTCCATCACCGCTCTCGTCCACAAACGCTGCCGGATCAATACTATAACTCCCCTTAATGAAGTCCTTCTCGGCCTTGAAAGGCCCCTCAGGCTTCTCGCCGCTCGCGACCCCAATCCGAAACAGGCCGTCGTGGTCCCTCGCGGGGAAATACAGATAGTATTTGCCATTGCGGAAGGCCGCGTCAGGAGCCCACAGCTGCTTCGAGGCCCAGGGGACGTCGGCGGTGGAGAGGACAACGCCGTGGTCGGTCACGAGGTTGCGGTTGTCTGGGTCGTCGAGGGAGAAGACGTGGTAGTCGGCCATGGCGTATTGGTCACCGTTGTCGTTGAAGGGGACGTTGGATTCGATGTCGTGCGAGGGGTAGATGTAGATTTTATCGTTGAAGACGTGGGCGGAGGGGTCGGCAGTGTAAATGTGGGAGATGAGGGGGGGTGGTGAAGAGGACGACATTTTGGTTGGATTGAACTCGTTCTTTCTTTGATTATAGTGAGGATTAAAGTGAATGGAGTGAGTTGGGATGCAGGACTATGGAGTAGTAGGAAGTTATATATTCATGCGTGGCGCTGTTTTATCCGCCGCGCCGGCTAAAGACGCCGTCGTAGTTGAAGACCAAGAATTTACCCCGCGGCAGGACAGTCAATTACGGCTAAACGGAGGAATTGTCGTCAGGAAAATTCTCACTAAGGAGTTAGTATGCATCTATAGGGCTAATGGGCTGGTTGGCTCATGAATCTTGGTTGAAATAGACCAGAGAAACCGGTAACAAATCAAAAAATCAACAAGGGATCATAGAAAAAAAAAAAAAAAAAAAAAAAAAAAAAAATTGCTTGCTTAAAGGCTAAGAAATGCATTGAGAATGAGTTCTGTATAATGGGCTGAATTCCACTTATCTCAAAACCTCTATCAGTATCCATTCATCTTCAACCGCATCGCGGCGTCCGAGTCCTCTCGTGCATACAGCAGACACTCCTGCCACTCGCGATCCATACGGGCCAGCATCTCCGCCTCGGTTTCTTCCGGCGGTGCTGCTGGCTGGGCTGGCGGTTGTGGAGGCGGCGGGCCGGAAGGGATGATGTAGTCCGGGGAGGTATCCATCTCATCGTCATCATAGATGTAGTCTTCGTCGAAGCTGTCCTCAACGGGCGACTCGCAGCCGTGGAGTCCAATAAAGCGACCGAAGCGGCGTCGCTTCGTGTCAAGGTCTACGCCACTCTCGTCGGAGGTGCCCACCCAAGGAGGGATGGTGACGGGGTAGTAGGATGTAGCGGCCACCGGGGGGTACACCTGATGGTAGTGGCGTGCTAGGTCATCCAGCTGGGGGGAGGTCAACAGGTGATAGGCAAGGATGGTGCAGGGGAATCCGGGGTGTTGAAGGCCCGTAGTGCTGGAGACGAGCGGACAGAGGGGGGTTTGGAGGTGATTCACGACGGAGTAAAATACTGGGTTTATCTGAGAGGGAAAGCCACTGTCAACCGGCCACGCCGTCGTGCAGTTCGACGTACTGGTCGCGGGTGAGCAGACATACTGAACGCCGGTGGGCTTGGGAGTCGGGGGATCGACTGAGAGACGGCGAGGAGGAGTCGAACGATTGCCCTTCATCTTCGACAGGGTTATATGATACAACAAGAAACAATGAACAATGCAACAATCTTCATACCTGGGCAGGGCGATAGACACTTTATATGGTGGGACTATATCCGTCAGCAAAGAGGATTTCTGCAAAGGTAAAGATTGGACGTATACGAGTTGCAACGGATTGAACGTGGTGAGCAGACCAGATGGATGATGGTGATTTAAATGTTGCTGGTGGAGAAAGAAAATCAAAGACGCGACAACAAATGAGTTTGTCTTTGTCAGGATATAGTGACTCCCAAGCTGGGTCTTTGTGTCAATTCCCATTGAAACTACACACGTTGTGCCGCCTTGTCTAAGGGTTTTAGAGCAAAGTGATGGTGGATTAAATCACCATTGTTCTCGCATAATGAAATAGTCAAATTGCAGCAAACATAAAGATCATTATATCGATATTCCCGCCCCATGAAGGGCGAACCCCAGGCTAAGTAAAACGTGATTATGAAAGCGCCATTCTACTCAACCCCTTTTCCAGCGAATTTCTTTTGTTCGACGTATCCTCCGTGGGCGGACTGCTAGCCGGAGGAAGCCCGACATACTTGTTGATCCAGTTGAAAACGGTGTTGTGCCACAGCAGAGAATTCTCGGGGTTCAGCACCCAATGGTTCTCGTCTGGGAACGTCAGGAACTGACTGGCCACGCCGCGGATTTGCAGAATGTTGAAGGCCGCCAGTCCCTCGGCAATGGTCAGCCGATAATCCAGCTCATTGTGGATGATCAAGTGCGGCGTCTGCCACTTATCGGTGTGTCGAGATGGATCCCACCTGTCCCAGTTCTCGGGCACTTTCCAGATGGGGCCCTCGAGATCGTGCACGGGGAAGTACATCTCCTCGGTACTGAGCAGTGAGCGCACGGAGAAGACTCCATCGTGGGTTACAAGGGCCTTAAATCGACGCCCCAAAGGATGGCCTTGGATCCAATTCATCATGTACCCGCCATACGACGCTCCAAGAGCCACCGCTCGGTCGGTGTCCACATAGTCTAAGTTCTTTTCAATGTAGTCGAGGCCTTTCTCCAGATCAACGTAGGGTCGTCCGCCCCAATTTCCGCGGATCGCATCGGTGAATGCCTGTCCGTATCCCGTGCTTCCGGTGGGGTTGGGGGTGACGACAACATACCCCTGCTCGGCAAAGACAGCGGGGTTCCAGCGCGTGCTCCATTGATCATTCCATGCCCCTTGCGGTCCACCATGAACCAGGTAGGCGAGTGGGTATTTATTTCCCGGTTTGAAGTGAGACGGCTTCACTACCCAGGCATGGACTGGGTGGTCTTCGGCTCCCTTAAACCAAATTTCGTCAACCTGAGCGGCAGAAAGTCCGAAGCTTGCGCCACCCCGACCGATAGATGATATTACGCGCGTGTTATCGGGAGAAGCGGGATCAACAATGCTCCAGACGCTATTATCGACGAGGCTGTTGCTGGAAACAAGAAGGCTAGACGATTGAGACGATGCCGGGTAAACCTCTGTCACGTAGCCCGAGGAAGTAATCTTCTTGAGCACATCAGGAGTTGAGTTGCGGATATTGGCGAGGGGAAACTGGTAAAGCACTCCGCGTCCGTCCTCCTCAACTTGAACGAACAGCGACTTGTCGTCGTTCGCGAAAGTCAGCGCGGATGGGCTCAGCTTCCAAAGCCCTTCGCCACCACCCGACGACCCAAACGCTTCGATCATCTCACCATTCCACGGGTTCGGTACGTATAGTATGCGATTCTTGTCCGACTCGTAGCCATCCTTGCGCATCGCTAAAAGAGCAATCGAACCACCGTCCGACGAGAGGACCGGAGATGACATGGCGCCTTCCAGACCTTTCACGGCACATATTTTAGACTGGGACGCTTCCATGCTAGTCCAGGAAAACATTGGGCAGTAGTAACACGAGCACGACGTATGAGTGGCCGGATTCAAACTCGGGTCCTTAGCCACGAAGACAATCGCACTGGAGCTAATGTCAAAGTCACTGGATCCCCCAAATGGTGGGATGGGCGATTCAACGCCAGCCAAGCCGGACACCGAGATCAGGTTGGTCAGCCCCGAAACGGAATACTTGCCGGCATGTCTGGTGGCAGGGGACAGCGGGGCGCGTTGAAGCAAGCCATACCAAATGGCATTCCTCTGAGGCCCGATGTACGAGTCCCAATGCCTGACAAACAGAGAAGTATAGAGCTTGCCTGTGCTGAGAGGCTTCTTGGCATCATGGGGATTGAACAGCGACCCGTCGGGATTTGCTTTGCCGGTCACCGCAAAGCCGATCTTGCCAGGCTCGACGACCGTGACCTTTAGATCGGACACGGGTCCTGGGACCGTGCCTGCGGTGTAAGTTTTGTTTGTTTCGCGTGCATCGCCGATGATGAAGCTCGTGTTGCCATTGGCCTTTGATTTCAACCAGACGATCTGATCGGAATTGTCCAGCCACTGCGGGGAGCTCGCACCGGGATCATTGGTGACTAGGGCAGAGCGGCCCGTGGCAATGTCCAACACTCGGATTTCGCTAGTCTTCGAATGGGATTCAAACGAGTAGGAGGTCTGAGTATAGACGGCGAGGGTGCCAGAAGAATTGGGGACGGCGCCTGAGCGGCGAGGAGCTCCAAGAAGGACCCTAGAGGAGATCAGTCAGCGTGTAACTGGGGAGAAAGGGTACACAGAGTTCCAGGAACCGCCGGTTTCCCCGCAGCTAGTGGCAACTTACTCTGGATTGAACTTCATTGATCGAATGGTCATGTCAACGCTCTTACAAAAGGGGATTGACAATGCCGATGAAAGACTAGTCCAAGTGACTTTCAGGGAAGTGAGAGAGTGAATGAAGAATGAGGAGAAGGAGAGAGGAAGGAGGTGAGCTCCAGCCGATGCGGAGAAGCAGCAGACCGTCCCTTCCTTCCTTATCACACCACAGCGCCCAGTCGGGTTTAGCGCGATCAACCGCTAGTCGGTGGCCCCGTGACACCGGATGCCCGATTGGGAAGTCTGTGGATACCCCAGACTCCGAGGGTCCTTGATGCCTGAGGTTGCAATGACTATTCCCTGTAGGCAGACCTGGAGAAGGGCATCATCTTCCTCGTCAATCATCTTCTTGATCATTCCCTCAAATTGAAATAGTTAAATTCATTCATTTGATCATCCTTGGCAGCCCTTTGCCTTTCAGAAAACTTACAGAGTACAACACATATATATCCGAGTGATCCGAATACCAACCAGCTCTAGTTGCGTTGAGATGAAATCGGAGAAGTTGTATATCGCCGAGTTGAACACGGTCCTATACTGGTCCAACCATATTTCGTAACTACGGTGTACAATTCGCCTCTTGGCTCCGATGATGATGTAATGAATGAGCCTGACAGCGGCACACCCTCAAATAGTAACGGAAGGGAATATCTCTCGACGGCTTGGCGAGCGGAGAGGAGGGAGCAGGACGAGAAAGCGATGACGTCGGAGGGATTTTCCACGTGCTCAAGCCTCCACATCCGATCAGCCAACGTCATCGACTGCTTTCTTTGTGCCACCGTCCATCCCTCTGAACGGAAGACTCCGTGGGGTATTGATACTGTATTCATTGGGCATTCACAGCCCACGATGGCGTCACGCCGCATTTCCGAGGAGGAGGGGCTTTGCAGTGTACGGTCTATATATTCATAGTAGATCCGTCCCTTCCTCTCCACCTCCACACTCCACACTCCACTTTGCTACTGCACTAAATCTACCATTCAAGCACGCAGCTTACTTCTCCACCCTAGTTCGGACTATTGTCTCTCTAGTGACTACCACCCAACATGTCTGGCATTCTACACAAGGTCAAGGAGGCTGTGACCCATCACCACCACCATGATACCTCGCACAAGAGTGACAAGGCCCATGCCCAAAACCCCACTACCACTCAGACCCAAGGCCCTCATTCCAGCAACGCCGCCAACAAAGCCGACCCTCGTGTAGACAGCGACCTCGACGGACGCGGTGTCAACCCTACTACCACCATCTCTTCTGGTCCTTACCTTCACGGCGCAGTCAGCCCCAATGACAAGCCCACCTACAACAGGGCCTGGACAGGCGACTCCGACGGCATCTCCCCGCGAACTAGCACCGTCAACACCAACGCCAACGCCTACGACGCGCCGCGCACCGACGACCCCAGCACCGGCCCCGCTCCATCCACCGCGGGTCCTCACTCCAGCAACGTAGCCAACAAGGCGGACCCGCGCGTGGACAGCGACCTGTCAAGTGCTAAGGCAAAGGAAGACACCAGCCGGTTCTACAACGAGGTGCGACAGGGAAGCATCGGCGGTGCTGGCATCATCCATGCCTCGGGAAGCAATGGACCGACCACTACCAAGACCTTTGATCCCCATGCCTCTCTCCCTAGCGGCGGTGCCCCTCAGATCCACTCGTCCTCCGCGGCGGGCAGCAGCTACAATACCCCCGGTAGCGGTCGTGCCTCGCACACTGCTGGTCCCCATGACAGCGATGTCGCTAACAAGATGGACCCCAGGGTGGACTCCGATCTGGATGGCTCTCGTACCATGGGCGCCCAGCGTGATGGCTACTAAGCGCGCTTAAACGAGGATGATTGTGATACCCGCTTGAAACTAACTCAAGATGTTTTTTTTTCTTCTCTTTTGTATTTCAGCTCTTAAATTAGTTGTTTGATCGCTCTTTCATGCAACTGTACATTAATAACGAGGTTCAAGATGATAGCTTTAATTGATCTCACTTTCTGACGACTACTGCTTAGTTCTAAGGGACTGGAACGGACGAATTCTGTAAACTCCAACTCATCTTTTGTCTGACATCATTTCATATAATTACAATCAACCAACAAACCCACTCCATAAACCACAAATTCATAAAAATAATTTTGGAGTATAAACGAGATCAAAGAAAATAGATAACAGTACACATCATTTACTCTTCTTCCTCTTCACTCTCATCCTCCTCCATACCCTCCGCAGCCGTCACAGTGAATGTAGGAGCTTGATCCACACCAACGTAGCTGTCGCTCATCAAATACAGCGTCAGTTCATGCTCACCTGGCGTAGGCACGATGTACTCCAAACGCAGCTCCAGTTTGTGACCAATAGTGACACGCTTGATAGCGAGCAGGTTCTTGGTCTTCTCGTCTCCCACGACCAGCCACCAGTTCTCCATCTTCTTGTTGGGGTAGAAGGGTGCGTGCACCGTCGTGTCCGGCTCCTCGTCCTCTTCGATCTCTCGCTCGATCTTGACCTTGAGATAGGCCGGTTCGCCCGAGGTGACGTTCTCCGGATCCTCCACTTGGAAGTCCAGGTCGATGTTGGGGTACTTCTCGTTGGTGAAGGCGGCGGCCTGGGCCAGCTGCTTGTTGTCCAGTCCGAGACGTTTGATGAGGGTAGCGTAGTCCTTGTTCTCGGAGGGGTCCATGGACTCCATGAATTCGAAGATGTCATTGATGCTGCGCGAAGGGGTCGGGTTAGTATCGCTGCGGAGTTTGGCTGAGGGAGACGAAGGAGGGACATACTTGTATTCGTTGGCGACCTTGATGACCTCCGGACCAAAGTGGGGGATCTGCTTCAAGGGGCTATCCCGATCCCACATGGCCTGGACCACCATCTGTGACATCTCCATGGCATTCATAGCATTCAGGTGTCCCTCCGACGAGAGAACGTCCACACATGCGCTGAGTAAATTGAGGATCTTGCTAACAATGACTTCCTGGTCCTTGGCAAGATCAATGGGCAGCTGCATGCGCGAGAAGTGAGCTTGCAGCAGCACGAAGGCCTTGAAGTGAGGAGAGTCGTAGGCGGTCTCGGACATCTTCACGGGCACACGATCATAAACACGGCGCAGAATGTGATCTTCATGACGGCGCATTTGGATAGACTCGAATTCCGTGGCAGAGGTGACGATCTCGAGAATGCCCTTGAGCTTCGTGCGAGCAGACAGCGAGAGGAGGAAGGTCTGCATGGTAATGAACGAAATGTTGTAGTACGCGCCGATCATTGCCGCGTTCAAGGGAGAAACGCTGTCATCCTCTTCATCCAGATCGATGATCTTGGCTTCGGTAAGCTCCTTCAGCGTGTTCTCCACGAGCTCGGATAGGAAAGTACTGAGACCCTCGTGGCTGACATCGCTAAGTCCGTAGAAACTAGGGTTGGCAAATAAACGACGGTAGAAGTAGGTATGCGTCATCCAGTCAACGGCATCCTGCGTTGATGTGATGGTCCGGGTACTGGTCTCGGTCACGAAAGCATCGTGGAGGTAGGCCTGCAGGTGACTCTCCACGGGCAGAGCCTCGTTGAGGAACTTCTTGTAATACTCACGCTTCACGGCCGGAACCATCAGGACACCACGACCGATTTTATCCTCTCCCGGGCGGGAAGCCTTGCCGAACATTTGCAGAATCTCACTGATAGGATAATCAATGTATCGATGCTCCCGACCCTCGAAGAACTGCGTTCCCATGACAATCACTAGGTGTGCAGTGAGATTGAGCTCCCAGCAAACATCGCGCGAGGCAAGAAGCACCTGGATGGCACCGATCGTGAACAGGTGAGAGACAATTCGCTTGTCCGTGGGACTCAACGCCTCGTGGTAATACCCGATACCGTGAGACAGCGACTCGGCGAGAGTTCGCTCTTGAACACGGTTCAAAAGAGGGGCCAGTTCGTTGACATCGGCATTCAGGAATCGATCTTCATTGTCATCAATAGCACAAGCAGCCAGCATATCCATTGCCGTCGAACGTGTTTGCTTCCGGTTCGGCACGAAAACCAGCGCGGGCTTGTCCGGAGACAGCTGCAGGATGGAGAGATACGCGGGTCGCGCCATCGCAAGCATGAGGGAGGGGAAGTGAGGGATGGTAAAAGACTGAAGGTGGAGTTCAAGAGGGACCGGGCGGGCGTGAGGGCTGAAGTTATAAATGGTGTGCTTGTTGGCGCCAATCCACTCACCAATGTCGCGGGCATTGGCCAAGGGCACACTCAATCCAACAAGGCGCAGACCGTTCTCGAGCTGCAGAGCAATGGAATGCATTCGAGAGACCACCACCTCGTACACATAGCCGCCGTAGCCTCCCAGCATGTGAAGCTCGTCCGCAATGAACAGTTGAACGGTCTGTAAGTTCTTACGTCTTTGCCACTGCCTGGACAGAACGTCCCACTGATTGGGTGTAGCGAGGACCAAGTCCGCCTGCTCCAAGAGCTTCAGATCGGCCGTTGTTTCACCAGTGAGCTTCACAATGTTCTTGCCACCAGCGACATTTTCCAATCGCTTTTCCCAGTCAGCAAGTCGCTGATCGACAAGTTCTTGGAACGGACTGATGTAAACAGCCCGGCCGGCATCCTCCGTAGACCAGTGCCGAAGCAAAGCAAGCTCGGCACAGACCGTTTTTCCGCTACCGGTCGGGGCACCGACGAAGACATTGTCATCCGTGTCGAAAAGGGACTTGAAGGTCTGCGTCTGAACCTTGTTGAAGTACTGCCAATCGGGGTACAGTTGCTGGTAATCATCGCGTTTTAGCGCCTTGACGGGAGCCCGCTGCATATCCAACAGAGGCGTATGCGGCGGGAAGCGCTCGGGGAGAATCAGCTTTTGGAAAGACACAGCAATCTTCGTTTCCGAATGCATCCAACGGTCCGACACAAGCGAAATGAAGTAGTTAGGGGGCATGGGTTCGGTAATAGCCACGGTGAACTCCACAAGGTGTTCGTTCATCTCCGCCTCGGCGTAGTCTTTTCGCAGGACGAACTGATCATGGAAAAGAATGTCCTCACCGTCGCAGTCTTCAACCAAAATCCAGAAGTCCTGAGCAGTACCGTGCACGCTCTCGTCCCACACGAAGTTAGGCGTTATAGATAGCTCAACACGGAGCATGGAGCGAGTGATGGGTTGAACCTGGGCCTGCACCTCCAAGCGGGGGAACTTCGCAACAAGGTCACAGACAACTCGACCGGCCTTGGGCATGCCCAAGAGTTCACCCATGCGTGGAGGGTCAAGATCAAAGTAGCTGGACCAGGGCACATCGATCCGCTCAGCCTTCTGCATGATATCTCGGGGACAAGTAGGGAACTGGCGCAGTGGCGTCATGGTCGGCCACATCCGCTTCTCCGCCATCTTGCAAAGATCAAGAGCAGTCTTCGCCACAGAAGACCAGCCCTTCTTCAGGGTGACTTCGAACAATGCTCGTAGGATACGCCCGGCAGACTGGGTGACATAGACCATGTCTGCCATCAGAGCGAGACCGTCGAGTTTGAGTCTTGAAATGTACGCCTGCAAAAGGACATTGATCTTGGAATGGGGTTCATCGATGCCTTCTTTGACGGGAACAGGCACACGGCCTAGAAGTTTCGCTAATTCGAGTTTCTCATCCTGGCGAACGGGAATGTACTTGAATTCATCACTCAGAGCGAAGATGCGGAAAAGCTCAATGGTGGTGATCGATGGCTGGATGTGTTGCGAGTAGGTCAACATGGAGTTGTGACCGATGTAATAATGCGAGGCAATTCGACCCAGCTCGGTGGATTGCAAACGGCCAGCCTTCTTCTCATACTTGACGAGACCGGCCCGTTCCAAGATGGTCGCCGCAGAGTGAACAAGATCAACACGCTTCTGTTCCAATGCATCGTCGTTCTCGTAATCCGCTCCAACACTGTACAGCCCAGGAGAGCGAAGCATCCGTACATAGAGGTAAGTGTAACCTAACCAATCAACGGCCTCATCCCGCGTTCGGATGTTTCCAAGAACAATCTCAGCATTCATGTTGTCGGCAAGTTTGCTCATGAGCTGACTCTCAATGGGTAGTTGCTGGTTCATGAGTGAAAGGTAGTATTGTATCTCGGTCTGGGACGTGATGATGATACCTTCACCAAACGTATCATATTGAGGACGACCCGCTCGGCCTAGCATCTGCAGCACATCCTGGGGACTGAGCTCGACCCAGCTACCCTTCTCTGGCGAGTAGATTTGAGTACCCTTGATGATGACGGTATGGGCGGGAAGATTGACACCCCAAGCAAGAGTGGCCGTGCAAACCAAGACCTGAATGCTGCCATCGGCAAAGAGGGCCTGAACCGAATCACGATCAGCAAGACTCAGACCAGCATGATGAATACCTAAGCCATATGGCATCAGATCCTTGAGCGAGGCGTCATCAACCGATTCAGCTTCTTCGGATAGAATGGCCCTGCTAGCGGCATCACTTCGCAGAATTTGACCTATCGTCTCCATCTCAAGAGCCTTGTCTCTGATGTACTTGGCTGTCTTGGCTGTTTCCTTTCGGGAGTGAACGAAAATCAACATCTGGTTCCGGCGTTGGCCGACCTGCTCGAGAACTTTGTTGTAGCAGATATCGTTCATGGTTTTCAGTTGCTTGATGGCCTTCTTGTCAGTAACGCCGATGAATTCCTGCTTCAGCGGGCACGGTCTGTAGGACCCATCGAAGTGGAACATGCCCTTAACAGGGTCGACTCGCAAGAAGTTTCCAACATCCCGGTAGTTGGGAAGAGTGGCACTAAGACCAACGATACGCGCTGGATCGCCAGTCTGTTCGCCCTTGCGAATAGATCGGCTGACG